ATGAAGTGCGGAGCCAACCCTGAACACAAGTACAGACCCCTATGCGAGGGGTTGTCCAAAGTGCCCATAGAATTCGTGCCCCATGTTGAGGAACCTTTGGAGGCAAACCACAGAGCTGCCGCGCGTCCGGTCCTTTCTCGGCAAAGCCACCTGAGGCCGACCCAAACAAACAGATGCTGAGGCGAACAGGAGCCAGAGAGTAGCAGTTCTCTTTGCCGGTAGGGCTGGTCACTCTTACGGAAGCCATTTGAGTCGCAATCAAAGCCTGGTACTAAAATGGTCTACCCAGAACCATGTACAGGATTAAGAAAACGGCCGCAGCTATTTATGGTTGGGATCGTCCCTTACTAACCTTCATCTACCTGGGTTTTGATTGTGGCTCGTTTGGCCACGGGTCAAAATCAAAATCGTACTTCCAGTGAACATTCCAATCCCCACTAAAATGGACAAAAATGGGTGGTGCACCTATACCCCAAAATGGTACCATTGGTTTTGACCCACAGCCATTTCCTACAAGAGGGGCTCACCCCAGCCATACTGGAGGGAAACAGGGTGTCAAATAGAGGGGGTGCATGCAGAGACATTGCAAGCGTCGTACCTCCAGACGACATCAACAGGTGCGAGCGATTTGGAACCTGGCAAAATTGCTGCTGACCCCGTGATTCTTTGATTCTGCTATTTCCCGCAGAAACATCTGAGGTGTTGCAGGCTCAATGGAGAAGCTCTTAGTTTCCAGCAGATCTCATAATCCAAGAGATGGTATCCCCAAAGACCCCCTGTCCAGTACCACGATGCTGTCTGCTGTTGGAACTGCACGAGCCTTTCGGGTGAGCCTTGACGAGAAAAGGAGACTTGCCCTGCAACATGTTTTTTTCTTTTCGGTGCACCTCCCCCTCTCTGCAGACACCCCCCTCTGTTTATGTCTTTTCCGGAAAATTAGAGACTCCCCGAAAACGGCGGCTTTCCATTGATGGGGTTCTTCCAAAGAAGCACCAAAGGGTACAAGAACTGCCCTGGGGCTCCTATCCGGAATCGAAACGGACTGGAACAAGAAATGGAGCCCTGGCCGTTCTGCCTTCTCCCCCCCTAACGGAACATGTCGCTGATTGGGCCAAAATGGGCCAAACCCCTCAGCATGTGCAAGCCCCCACTCGCGGCACAGGTAGACACTTCTTCCTCTCAAAACAAACTTCGAATGGTTTTGATTGTAAGGTAAAGGGGCACCATGGCAGCTGGCTGCTTCAGCCAATCTTGTGACCAAGATGTGATGAAAGACCTCCTGACTTTGAATGGGGTGCAATTCGGGTATCAAACAAAGGATCCGAAGCAAAAAACACATCTCCTGCTGGCATCCTTTTGTGGAAAATGTACCCTCCCTACCACTAACATGGCACCTCACCAAAGGATCCCTTGAGGAACATGGTCTTCCAGGTACCCGCCCACAAGTGCTATGCGTGCGACTGATTTGAATGAATGTTTGTTTTTTTGACTTGCAGCCATCTACGATTCTGCGCGTTGGAGCAACGGTTCTTCTAGCTCCCCTCTCACAAACGGTTCCTTCCATTTGGTTCAGACCCCTGCAAACAAAAATAAATATAGCCATGCAGTTGTGAACAAAATCCGTTCAACACCAAGGGAACATCACAACATCTTAAGCAAATGGAAGGTTGCTCAGCCTGGCCGGGCGCCGGAAACTGGAGCATCCTGCCTCCTTTCTCGCCTTTCTCGCCCTTCTCGCCTTTGCCCTTGCCGCCCATGACCTGAGGATGTGTTGCCCGTGCCTTTTCTGGGAGCCAGCAAGGTGGGCATGTCTCGGTTTGTTGTTTTGGGGGGGGGGGTGCTCGGTGCTCCTTTTGGTCTCCATCTACAGAAACCAAGGTGACAAGGGTACACATTGCTTGCTTGATGTTGGCCAACTCCTTACCCCTCATAAAGACGGTGTGTGTGTGTGCTTCTTTTTCGCGCAGAGTTGCTCTCTTCAGCAAGAACCGAATGAAGTGGACTGCAAATGCAATGCGCAGAATGGCGATAAGATTGTAACATGCTTTTTCAGACCCGGGCATCGAATGATTTTTCAGGTCCATCTAAGACATCAACTGTTGGGAAGCGCAATGGGGTCCATCTAAGACATCATTTCTTGGGAAGCGCAATGGGGTCCATCTAAGAAATCCACTTTTGGGAAGCGCAATGGCGACCAAGCTAGCAGAGCAAAAAACAATAACGTCATACTTTTGGCTGCATCCTACAAGCACAAATTCGCGCTTTGTGCCGATGCCTGGCTATGCGCGCCACACCACCCGGAGCGAATGTTGGCATGAACGTCTGTAGCTCATGGGAAAATGCAAGGAGAAGTCTAATTTACGCCCGTGACTAACAGTGGACAACTGATGTGATAAAGACACTTCGCCACTCTCAAAATGTTTTCTGTCAGTGGCATGAGTTGAAGCGGCAACACCGCGTTCTGCGCTCCCTCCGATTTTGAAGGATTAGATTGCGGACAAAACGCAACGCTTCTCGTTGAAAAGGGATGACTGTTGGTGTCTCAGGGGTCGCCCATGTGTGCGCGGGCGCCCGATGTATCCCGCGTGTATGTGCTCATGTGTCAATGAACATTGAATATATGGGTGTGACTTGCTGTTGCCGACCCATTGGCGGACATCAATTGCATGGGGCAGATGATGATGATGGTGGCTTTGATGATGATGACGACGACGACGGTGGTGATGATGATGATGGTGATGGTGATGGTGATGGTGATGGTGATGGTGATGGTGATGGTGATGGTGATGGTGATGGTGATGGTGATGGTGATGGTGATGGTGATGATGATGATGATGATGATGATGATGATGATGATGATGATGATGATGATGATGATGATGATGATGATGATATGGTGATGATGATGATGATGATGATGATGATGATGATGATGATGATGATGGTAATGATGGTAATGGTGATGGTGATGGTGATGGTGGTGATGATGATGATGATGATCATCATAATGATGATGATGATGATGATGTGATGATGATGATGACGACGATGATGATGATGATGATATGGTGATAATGATGATGATGATGATGATGATGATGGTGATGGTGATGGTGATGGTGATGGTGATGGTGATGGTGGTGATGGTGATGATGATGATGATGATGAGGATGATGATGATGATAAGGATGATGATGATGATGATGATGATGATGATGATGATGATGATGATGATCATGATGATGATGATGCTGGTGATGATGATGATGATGATGATGATGATGATGGTGGTCGTGATGATGATGATGATTATGATGATGGTGATAGTGATCGCAAGTCATGTCTTGACACCATGTATCCATCCGCAGTCTGTTCTCAGTTCACCCCAGGCGCCGCGCGCCAAAAACCGTCAAGCTCCCACCATGGTGGGGACGACAATGGCAGCGGACTTTTCGGCAGCCACGGAATTGATTGCTTGAGGGTGGTTTAAAAGTTAGGCCAAAGGGACACTATTTTTTTTGTAAGTTTTGAAAGGTAATCTAATTGAAGACATATTTTTTTGATTTTGAAAGGTCATCTAATTGAAGACAGACTTTCAAATTTACCAAGTGTGGTACTGTTGGAGTTGTCAACACGTGAAACCTGGCCCTGTGAAGACGTTCCCTTTTGGTCAGTATCAGTTGGAAAGGTCGATGGGAAGAATCTGCTTTGCTTTAAAGGGGCTAACCGTGTATCTGATCACAAAGCTGATATTGGCTTGCCCCCAACAAAAGTGGCGGTGGATTCCGCCTCAAGGTCTGCTTGGCCTCTCCCAGACTTGGCAACATAGCCTCTCTGGTCCCGGTTACCTGTTTGCCTTGAAGGACAACAACCAATGTGGGAGGTACAGGTGACCTATGCCTGACTTGCTCAGCCAAACGAATACCCAGAGATGAAGGGATCGCACGAATCAGAAGCCGCATCATCGGAAATGGATTTCTCTCGTGTTCACCGCCACGAACAAGGTAGTTGTCAAGAGGACGCCATGTGTAGATTATTGGTCAAGCTCGAGCAGGAAATATCAATGCGATGACGCGAGGTGAGCAGGTGGCGATGCTTTGACCAGCAAGAGTATGGCTCTCTGCAAGAATCAGCATCCGCAATGCAAGGCGTTCAACAATTCTTGCTAACGAACGAAAATTCCATGGGCCCTTTGGTGGACGTCAGTTTCAGCGGGATTACGTCCATTCACGTTTGAGGGTCCCTGTGAAACCGCAAAGCCAAATCTGAAACGCATTCACACCGCTGGTCATTTGCAATGCGGCACGTGACGTTCAAAATGATGAGACAACTCGGCTCCTACTAGTTGTCAGATCTTGGCCAATTCTGCTAAAAAGACCCCTGATGCCGTCCCGGGATTAATCAAGCCGGTGGAAATTCACCAGAAACCGGGGGGTTCCCAAAAAGTGAAAAAGCAGGATGGCCGCGCCATTAACAAAAAAGACGGGAGCAAACAAATGACGTGCTTTGAACCTCAAACATAGACAGGGGCCAGAGTCTTTGATTAGCCAGGCTCGGGCTTGTTTTGGACAAACAACGCCAGGGCTAGATATGCCAGGCTTTTTGAACCCCCAGGGTTGCCGAAAGAAACCTAAGTTCGCCGCTCCGCAGCAGGGTTCTAAGGATACCTTCAGCTGCTTTCTTTGCATGGGATTCTCTGTAAAGCCGATGTTTGAACTGGCCCAAATGAAAACTTTGCGGCACCCTGCCCCAGGAAAGGTGAGAGTTCTAAACGAACTTTGTTGGACAGGGTTCTGATAGAAGAAGGGATATCTCTCTCAATATAAAACATACACCCTAGTGTTTTGAATCATGCTCACACGCCACAATGCAGCAGTTGCCCGAAAGGTCAGGAACTTCCGGGTAACACAGTGTGTTTTGACCCCCTTTACAGGCCCCGGTACATCCTCATGCACAGGACCCTTGACCCTTGCAGAGCTGGAGGAGCTTTTGTGGCGCTCTCATCTGCCGGTGCAGCCGCAGCTGGCCACCAGTCGCTCCCTTTGCCTCAAAGGAAATGCGCTTCACTCACTTTCCCAGCATATCTTGGACAAACGAACAAGCGGGGATACGGAGGGAGAGGGGATATGGGGGGATTCCCTTGGCACCATTTCTCATATCAAACTTAGTCAAGGTGCATTTAGTTGGTTTCCCTGAATATCCCTCATACTCAGGAAGACTTAAACGATCAACTTGAGAGGATTCTCTTTGTGTCCAGGCAAGGGCCCGCTATCCGAATTTGCCAAGCAAAAACGGGGAGGGGGGGGCCATCACAACCCAAATTCGGCAATGAACACAGACAACACGTCTCACCCAAACACTGGGATACTATCTTCCATTTAAAAGGGTTTTGCATGTGCATCATGCACAAAGTTCAGGCAAGGAAACCCTACGAGCGTTCCGTCTCTGTTCATAGTCTCTAAGAAGCTGGCGGGAGATCAGGACTTTCTGGTTTACCTTTTGGCCATGGGTCAAAATCAAAATCGTACCCCCAGTGAACATCCCAATCCCCACTAAAATCCCGACTAAAATGAGTGGTGAATTCATCTACCCCAAAATGGCACCAAAACTGTTTTGACCCACAGCCTTTTGGGGCCATGAGCTCACTGGAAAGCCAAACATGTCACAGGCCGAATTCGGTCTTTGCAGCACCTGAGTGGCTAGAAATTCCTCCAAACGACTCTAGGTGCTGGAGTGCGAACCAAATCCAGTCATGATCATAGGAGCATAACCGTTGTTTAAAACAAATAATTTTACGTGTATTGCGTTTATTTTTAGCCCCCTTCAGCCCATTCCAGGAATCACACACACACACAATCTTGTGGAGCTCAAGGGCAAATGATCACGAGCTCACCTTCGCCAGTGGGTCCCTTCTCGAGGTTAACCTAGGGGATTGCTTCAATCAAGAAACTGACCCAGAAACCATCCAACTGGTGCGTTCCTAGGGAAACCCCAGGATTTCATTCCATTTCTCCTTCCCATCGCGCCCGCAAGTTTCGCGCGGGGGCCCCACGAGCTCAAGTTTGAAGGCGTAGTTTCAAGCGAAGCCAAGCCGACGGTGAGCGCAACATGAGATGCACGGAGCCGCAACGCACCGCGGGAAAAAACTCGACCCTATCCGGAACTGGTTTCAAAGGGAAACCGTTGTGCAAAAGGGATCCTTTGAATAAATTCCCAGGGATCCTTTGAATATTCTGGGAGAAAAACAAGCCCATGTGGGCGATGTAACCAGGGAATCTATACATTTGACATACCCCGAATGGCTTCCATGTCCCTGCCTGATGCCATGCCCATGCGTCTATGCTTCAAGAGTGAGGCTCCCTGGTTTCATCCTGCTACCGCAACATTCCGGGCGATTTGACTTTTTTTGAAACACCCTGAACAAAAAATGAGAGCAGCCAAGAATCCCCCAAAGGAACTTTCATGGGAGTCGCACCAATTGTCGGCTTCTTGGGCCCCGGCTGATCCGTCAACTCCGTAGCGGCCGCAACCTACGGAGCGCCCCGGCAAAATTTGGCTCAGAACTGGCGGCAGCGGGCGGATTTGTCTAAAGCAACTGCGAAGCAGTGGAGTCTCGTTGATGGCCATCTGCGAAACTGGCATGTTTGACAATCATGAAGGTTGGGAAAACCAACAAAAGACTGCAGTGGAACACACACACACACACACACACACGCACACTGTGCCGTTGATTCGTCCCATATCTTGTCCCCAAATCTCGTAATCAATCCCTGCCCTAGTGGTCCAACTGCTTATTTATATCGGTTGCTTTCTGCTCCCCTGCCAAAAGTTTAACTTTTAGTGGTTTAATACGGAAAACCCACTAGTTGGCGAAAAGTTGTTCAGTCCTAACCTCCCTTGGCAAAATGCACCAAAGTGATCTGGTCTGTCTGACCAAATGCATTTTTTTTCAAGGATTGCTCTGCCCTCCATGTTCATCACCCCATGAATCTATTTGAGAGCACCTCCTCATGGCAAGCACAACGCCACATGATTGCTTGTCCTTCCACTTCAACAAACAAGTCTGTAACACCATGTCCCAGGAGTTGAACATGGTCAACCACGCAGTCCTTGGGTGCTTCTTCTTTCATGGGGCGCCTGTTGCCCGTCTGGGGTGCATCCCTCTGAATTGAATCCACAAGCTGAAGTGATATGTACCAAAGTTTGGTACAGCCCCCAGGACTTGCAACAAACAATTGGATGAAGTTTCCTGAAGTTACAATACGTTGCCCAAAGCCATGTCCCAGATTTAGCCTGAGGGATAGTCTGGAGCCATGTTCTAAAAGGGTGTCCACTGCCCCAAACCGATACACCCAAGGAAACCCAAGGAAAACCAATGGTGTGCCTATCATCCAAGATGATCCTTTTGCAGGAATTTTCTGAGATGAGGGTCACAGTTACCATACCACACCACACAAATGGATATATAGATACAGTTAGTATTATTATTAGTATAAGTATGTTTGTTATTGTTACTATTATTAGAACTGTTACAACTATGAATTATGCTTAATATTATGAGTATGACTATTATTGATAGAATTATTAGTTGTATAATATTGTTATTGTTATTCTTATTGTTATCATTATTACTACTATTATCGTAATATTATGACTTTTATCAGATTCATTATCATTATCATCATTATCATTATGCTTATTAATAATATTATTATTGTTGTTACTATGATTTTAGTTATACTGATTATTGTCGATATTATCTTCAAATATATATAAATGCATACAATATACATACACATTACACACACACCACCAAACATGGAAACGCACAGCCGCGGCCTGCGCCCTTCCACGTATAGGGGGTACCACTTCTACCCCCTCATTTCTCCTTAGGGCTTAAACCAAAATGATGCAAATTGTGATGTCAACCCAGTTTGGCGAGCCCACTGGTTTAAGCATCGTTTAGACCTAGGATGTATTCGTTTGTCGACCATCATCATGCTACTACAGATCAAGCATAACATCGAAGTCACCAATCGTCGCCCCGGTAAACGAGGCCATGGCACACTGGATATGCGTCAAAATAGGAGGACCCCCAACCTGCTTGGCTTCGTTTAGGCTTTTAAAACCCACTTGAAACGGTACCCCCCAAGCAAATCTGCGAATTTTACAATATGTCCCAAACCTGACATAAGGGATCCCCAAGTAAAGCATTTTACCATGGTGAGCTCATTTTACCCGCAGGTGAGCTAGGCCATACATCATGCAGAACAAATATCAAAAGTGATTCCCCAGTAAACCCAGGGACACCCCCTATGAACAAACTGGAGTTGACTAATATGGGGTCAACATTACTAACGGCACCTTGGTAAATGGAATAACAAAACTAAAGTTTGAGTAAGGCCCCAGCTCTTTCATTTGAGCCATACCCATCTTTGGGCCTTAACGGCAAACCCCATACCATTTTTGGGCCCATTTCTGGGGAGGGGTTCACCCCTCCAGTCCCTCAAATCTCGCGTCGCCTCGTTGGTGGCCATTGCCGGTTTGAACCCCTCGCCGGTGAAGATCTGATCCTCCCTGGGTTCGGTCGAAGGAATCCACTCGAGACGCGCGGGGCGGTCAGATGAACAACATGGACACCGCAAGGCGCAAATTCTGCCTATCCTGATAGCTCCCCTTTAACCCGGGGCACGAGTAAAAGGGGCATCCTCATCCTCAAAACACACCCACACGCACACCCACCCAGCCACTGTGATTATTTGAGGCTCAGTACTGTTTACAGATTAAAATCAAAGGGACATCTACATTACTTTCCTCCATTTGCTTAAGTCCCTGGAAAAACATGATAAACATATTTACAGTAGTGATAGGTTCCCTTTAAAACCAACAGGGGAAAACAAAAAAACAATCTTAACCAAATGGAAGCTTTGGGTTGCTTCTGCAAATGTCTTGTGTGACGCGTTTGCAAGTCTTGTCCACCTCATGGGCCCTTGTTGAGCTTCGCAGCCAAAGGGTCAGAGTACATCCTCAGGGGACCAATATACTTTTAGGGTTGATTCCTTGTCCGTTGTTTTCAACCATCGCTCTTTTCAGAAAGATTCGGATCCCTGGAAAGAATGGGGAAGGTACCCTGAAACCAAGGGGCTTTGTGCTAATTTGGTGCGGCATTTGTTTGCGTGTGTGTGTGTCAAAATGGGAAGGGTCGTCCATGCACCTTCCTAAAGGGCCAACACGGGGTCACTTGGTACATCCTTACGGGATACTTAAATACTTGGACGGCGATGGAAACCCGGACACTGGCAGTCCCCCGTACTGCCTGGAGCAAGTGGTTCTCAGGCCTTTTCGGAAGTGCCTCGAAGCATGGGCCCTTGCCGGCTAAGGCCGTCATTGTAAGGCTGAACTACTTGTGTACCACCAACATGGTGGGCCCACAAAGTGCAGAACCCAAAGCAATTGAATCAAGCAACCCTCGGTGTTTACCATCTAGGAAATCCCTCATCCTGCACCAATGGCTGCAATCGCAGAGTCGTTTTTGGGAAATGATCGGCATACCTCCGCTGGTCGGGCAGCCAAGGGAACCTCAAAAGGAAAATCCTGGCTAAAGGGATCGATATGTGATTGTTCTTGGAAAGGGATGTGGGCTTAGGTTCCTCTTGCTAAGTTAGGTAACAATGGTAAATGACAATCGAACCAAGATCACAAAGTGAAACTGACCTCAAAGTACGTATGCGAAAAAGCCCCCTAAGGGTTCCCTGCTTGTAGGTGGCAATCCTGTTGTCAGGTAGTGTTGAGACAACCCTGCTGCACGACAGCCCTGCTGCACGACCTCCGGCATGGGGCGCAGACACCGTGGTGTTCTCCCGCGAGAACCGCGCGCCTCGCTTTTGTGGAAGCCTGTTGGACGTAAGGGTGGAGATTGCATACTCCGGGGGCGGAGGGGGGCGTGGGGTTGGACATGGGAGGCCTTTCTTGGCGCAATGTGTGCTGTAATGTCCAAATGGGATCAAAAGATGAAACGCGTAATAAAGACAAATGGGGGCCCAAACATATTAATAAATGCACCTGGATTCAAGACAAGCACCCGCCACCCGCGCAAAACCCCCCCCCCCCCCAAAAAAAAAGAAAGAAGAAAAGCAAGAGAGAAAGGAGAGGAGTGATAGCCAAGCCAACACCTGGTCTTGGATCTTTCGTACCTTGTTCCTTAAATCCAAAACTGTCAGCTTTACCAAACCCATGTTTTCTTAAATGTCTCTTGTTTAAAACCTGCCCACAATCAAACCCACAAAGGGGGTAGTACTTCAGCCCCCAACTTGACATTATTTCAGGGGCCCCCGAAATAAAGTCTTGTTGCCTGGCCCCCCCAAGAAAAACAAAAGGAAGCTCCAGCAATACTAAATCAAATGGAAACTCAGTTCCAAATCTCATAAGGAAGCTCCAGCAATACAGAATCAAATGGAAACTCAAGTCAACAATACTAAATCAAATGGAAACTCAGTTCCAAATCTCAAAAGGAAGCTCCAGCAATACTAAATCAAATGGAAACCCAGTTCCAAATCTCAAAAGGAAGCTCCAGCAATACTAAATGAAATGGAAACTCAAGTCTACCAATACTAAATCAAATGGAAACTCACTTCATCTGGATCTCAAGATACTATTCTAGATACCCCCATCGTTGAGGGGGGGGGGGGTCCCCCTTTAGTAATCCCTTGGACATTATTTATGACTGATGCTTCAACTCCGGCACCACTGGCCTAAGTCACTTTCTGCTGGATGTGTTGCCCTTGCAGCCAGTTCGACATGTTGGAGCCAGTGGCAGCTGCGAGAGGAGGCTGAGGAAGACAGCCTTGTGTCAACTTATGCCGTTCGCCAGACTGGACAGGTGACAATTACAGCTCCCCCGTAGTTTGGGTGGACAACATTTTTGACTGTCCGTTATCCTACCCAAGGGTCCAAGTACCCTCTAAGGAGGTACTTAGCTTAGACCCCTTTTTACCCCCCAGAAGCCATCCTCAGGAGGTACTTGGACCCTTTGGGCTAGGTTGACCATGGACAGCCGGACATGTTGACCAAACGTCTCGCATACTTCGCCTCCGTCAACTTCCATAGTAACAGCTTCTCCGCGTGCCATTCCAAGGAAATTGAAGGAACCCCAGCTCTGATACGTCCCAGTAAGCCACGCTCCCACATGTCCCTCCCAAATCCACCATAGACTACAGGAAATAACCCTAAACCCCAAAACCCGGAAATCCCCATAAATCAGTACTGATTTGGGACCCCGGAAAAGGAAGCCATAGAAGCTGCATGGTGACTATCAGTCTCAGTACTCAAACACTGAGTATTAGGAAACCTCCAAACAATCGAAATAGAGCTGCACCTTTCTCCCCACTTGAGGTGAGTTGAACCCGATGCTTCATTCTTATCCCCCTCCCCTCCCCTGCTTTCAAGCGGAACCGTGGAACCCTGTAAGCCCTCACCAACAGGAAACGGACGCTCGCTTTGCCTTTCCAGAAGGGCAATGTTTAAAAAATGCAGCCCTTTGCGGTAAACATATACATATATATGCTATGATTCACCCTTTGGGCATCTTCCAAATTAGATGAGCTTTCGTTTGTTGTTGTTTCAGCGTGGCGAGAGTGTATCCTAGCAACCCGCATAGGGGGCCGGTTCAATCGAGTTTTCTGTGCAAAACGCTGGTGTCCTTTTGGGTTTCCCTCTAAACAAAAATGGGGGTCTCAAAAAAGGACACGTCCAAACCAACCCATTGGGGTGAGAATTTGGGAACAAAGAGCTGGAACCGGTTCCCGCAAAGAGCCGACGGGGCCCGCGCTCAAGGACTGCCCAGGCAGTGTTCGCCTACCAAACGGCCCCGTGAACCCGAATGCAAAGGGAGAACAACACGAGTCAAGCCAACTGTGAGAACTCGTCCGAGCCCTACGTGCATCGCCGAACTTTGGCCGAATTGGTGATGTTTGTCACGTCAAGCCCGAAACCATGGGTGGGTAAAACCAAATGGGTGTGCCTATGTTTACAGTACCCGTTGTTTTTTGGTGTATACAGGAATTGTGAAACCAAATTCGTTGAAACCAACGCATGTAGGGCGCGGATCGGAGTCAATTTCCAGGATGAATGTACATTGGTATAACATGTAATTATACCCTCTAAGCAAATATCCGTTTATTTTAAAGGTATGGCAAAATATCCAAGTTTTTCCAGGAAATACCGGGTTTTCACTTTTTGCGTTGTAATCAGAATGGTCTTGCGTGAGTTATGATTGTGGTTCCCTCAATACAATCCTTTTGTTGGCTCTCTTACATCCAGTTAAACGCTCCACGGCCGCCTAGCAATCCCATCCAAGCAAGCTCATTGAGCATGGCACCTGTTGCAAATCACTTGCTGAACTCGAAACAATGGTCAATCCGCAATTTGTTGGGAAGGCTTCCCAGATCGTGGCTCGGCAAGTTTAAAACAGCGTTGGAATATGAACTTTCTGACAAGGGCAACAAGTAGTCCCAGTTTACCGCAAGCGGTAGCTGCACGCGTATACATACTGTGTATGGCACTGAGCAATCTGCTTGGGACTGTTTGCGTAAAGCTCGCGTCGGATACGTCTGGAGGCCCGTCTTGCAAATGCTCACTTGTTTGACAACCAAGTCCCGTGCTAAAGCATTGATCCCGGAGCTTTTCGCAGGCTTGTCTAAACGTCGCAAGAACATCATTTTCGGAGCGAGCCAAAAGAGCATAACCCACTTTGAACACTGGACAGCAGGTAGTAAAAGACACGTGGGACGAACACATGAATGACTGCTTTTCGCAGGGTCACTTTGCAAGCGTATTTCGGGCAACTCGGGCCTGGAAAGCTGTTTGAGCAGAGGCTGAAAATCCCATAAATCGCGTACGGGTTTGTACGGTATTTTAATGGGATTTGTACGGTTTTTGTACGGGTTAGGAAAAACGGGTTTTCGGAAAAAATATGGGTTTGTATGGGATTTTTATGGGATTCGTATGGGATTTTTTATGGGTTTCCTTTTTGTTTTCGCACGCGCTCGCCCTTCCAGAAGCTTGCCAGCAAAAAAAGCCGGCACACAGCTAGATTGCGCGAGCAGCGAACTGGTTTTGTATGACATTGCGGTAGAACGTCCGAAGGTTTTCGGGCACAAAAACGTACTACGCAACATGTTTGGCTTGGACTGTGCTTCCCATCGAATCGAAGTTATGAGGAATCTCTGGGTGCTGGAAGAAAGTGCGACTTAGGCGGAGGCCAGCTTTGTTGGCATTTGGCTTGTGCGCTGAGCCGAGTAACAAATGCAAGTGCCACTTTGGGATACTGCATTATGTTTTAAAAATACAAAAGAAGTACCATGCTTGAGCATGATGTGTCAATCACGCAGAGCTACTGATGGTCATGTAGTGAACTGCACACTTGTACATTCAAGCTGGTTGTCCCGCTTCATTCCTGAGTTTTGGCTGACCACGCCATCGCGTCTACCCCTGCCTTTTGAGCTCCAATCTTGAGGAGCAGGGGGCTATCGCGCACTTGGCGGTACAAAAGGAAACAAAAGATTCCCAATATACAATTTGGCAGTGAAAGAAACCTGGCGGCTCCTTTCAACACCTGCTCGAGATCCGGCACCTTTGCTCTGTTCTTCAAACATCCGACATTTCGCTTGCGAAAAGTGCCAAAATAAAGGAAGTAAGTGAAATACCAGGTTTTTCCCTGGAAAATCATTATATTTCCAAAACTTGCCCAAAAACCAGGTTTTCCCAGTTGACCCTGTAAAATTAAAGGATTTTCGCTTAGAGGGTATATATAATGTCCATTGAGTTTACATGTGTATATGTTATCTGGTTGCATCGGCCATTGTTTGAACATGCCTAGACCTCTGTTGAAACAGTCGCTGGCTTCCCTCCGTCGCGGATGGGCCAGCGAAATGGTTGGCGATCTACTTTTCGATGAGTCATGGCCATCCCCCGTCTCAAGTAACCGTGCTTGTGGCTGTGGGCAAACCCTATACCCTTGGTGAACATCAAAAAAAGATGGCAAATGGATGTTCATCCACCGCCATAGGTTATGCCCCATGGCCGTGTGGCAATGGGGCTCGATCCTTCCGAGAGGATGCCTTGCTGAAAACCCGACCATAAGCAAAGAGTACAACAAGACTGTCCGAGTCCACAAAGTGGGTGTGTCTTTTTGAGGGTACCCCTTTTTTGGTTGGTTTAACGCAAAATCAAAAGGAAACCAACCATTTTGGGGGGGTCCTCAAAAAACCCATATTGATGTGGGGCCTAAGTTCGTGCCCGAAGCTTCTGGAGCGATGAATTGTGCCATATCAAAACACTTGACTCGTGTCCAACATGTCAGAGAATCCGCGAATCAAGCCAAGCAACACAAACAGGGATATGAGTCAAGGTCATGATTACTTGTCTGGGGTGTAATCATTCCAATGTTAGGATGTCCCGTCTCGTTTTTGTCTGGTTCTTTTCTCAGATTTTGGGGTATTGTTGCGAAACACTCCTACATGAAGTAAATGACTGTCATTTTGAAGCTGGACACATCCCGCTGGGGGTGTCTTAAAATGGAGCTGCACTTTGCTGAGATTGAACGAGTGTTTCACTGGAGGCAGCGGAATCCATCACTGTGGGTTTCGACGCGCGAGACTTGTCTCGGCTCGGCGGGGCGCCAGTAGATGCCGAAGCCCACGGCGAAGAGGAAGATCACTGCGAAGAGGCCCATGCAGGACATGCCTGGCGAAAAATTCACCCGACCGAGCGAGCCACGGATGGAAGTAGGTTCAACAAGGGAAAGCAAAAACGATGCCATGTGGTTCAAGGTTCAAAGTTCAATCCAAAAGGGAAATTCTGTGGCAGATGGCAATAGGTGTTCAATTCCGGTTGCTGGTCTGCGATTGTCTGAAATTGGAGACCCCTCCCACATAACATTTGTGGGAGGCCTGGAATATCAATTTCCTCAAACCAAAAACTCTGTCAGGTGCCATGGCAACTAACCCTACAGGATCTTTAAAGGAGACCCCTTATGAGTGTCGCTTGAACTTGGCCACACCTCCAGGTGAGTGGTTGGCCTTTTGGCCTATCCAACACACAACTTGGGATGGATTAAACACTGCGGAATGAGGGAAAAACGCCTACCCACTGGTTCGAAGTGGATTTTGTCCCATGGAGGCAGGCCTGGTGGCTTCTGCCGTGCGTCTTTTGAAGTCACTGCCCCAGACCTAAATATTTCATCCTGCAATTTGATCAGGAGATTCAATTGAAGGACTGAAAAGGAGATTCATGCATCATGAATTGGATCCGCAGATCAAACAAACTTCAGATCATCTTGCAAATCATTGATCGTGACTTCAGATGGCTGTGGGTCAAAAACCCGTACCCTCAGTGAACATCCCAATCCCCACTAAAATAGGTTCTAAAATGAGTGGTTAATTCACCTACCCCCAGTTTTGACCCACAGCCAGATCGTCAATCTGCGGTTTCCGTTTGGATTGCCATGTCAATCAGGGAAGTGACCTTTTTTGCGGCAGGCCTCGCAGCGGCGGCAGCTTCCTCGACTCAGTGTCTCGGGAATATCTCTTTAAAAAAAAAAAAGAATCACTTGTGGGCCTGATATGGGTGTGAATTTGAATGCGGGACCCTTTGGTGGACATCAAAGGGTCAACTTATGTCCACCAACCACTTTTGAGGTGGTTCCGTATCAAAATTCAGAGCCATATGGAACATCCGCCACTGTCCCAACCAAAAACTTAAGGTCCAAAGATCCGCTACCAAATAGCCAAGTCATGTGCCCAGTTGACCCTGGTAAAGGGAGCCCTGCTTATTTGGACTGACGTGTTCAACCCAGTGACCCTGGGAACCAATTTGGGTTGACAGATAGTGGGAAAGCCACAGAACAACATATTTAAATAGGGTGCCACATGGTGCCACATGGTGCCACACGGTTGAACTGAAACCCGGGTCATGCCCAAGCAAAACACACCCTTTCCGGGCTGTCCAACTGTGCGCATCTCATGCGGTTCACTTGCAAATGGGACGTGGTTTTTGTTAATGGAGCGATGGTGTGTTCAAGGACTAAACAGAAATCACTCATCAAGTTTTCCTATGCGACGACACCATCTAGAGAATCCACCATACCCTTGCAAAACAAAATGGGGTTTGGTCCTGTCTCATGGAGTTGCAGGAGAGAACTTTGGAGGCGACCCTCTGGCCCTGGGCCAAACGATTTTTCACAATGTTGCACCTGTTTCTTAAATGCTGAGGATGCCCAACATTGTGGTTGTTGCATTGGTTTCCCTTTCAACCCCCAAAACAAATCCTGCCAAAAAGGCAGAGACCTATTTAGGGACAGCTCGGAAAGTCCTTTGATGCGGCCATGACCGGAGTGTGCAACGTTTAAAGCCGGGCGCTTGGGCTGTGTTTAGTATATGTGTCTGGCGTGTGTTCGTCGGTTTTGTGCCCGCAGCCCCAAAAGGTCCCCCCACAACCTCACCCATGGATGCGAGCAAAACGACGTGTTTGCGGGCCGCCAAAACTGAACAGAACCTCAAAACCCGCAAAGTCCAACATGCAAATGCCAGCAAAAACAAAGCAAAAACACGAAGCAAAACCAGTTACCTCCATTTGCTTAAGTCCCCTGCAAAAAAAAATAAAAATAAAAACTATTTCCAGTAGTGATAGATTCCCCCAACAGGAGAAATATTAAAATATTCTTAACCAAATGGAAGGCTAGCGCAAGCTGAATTCTTAGGTCTGCTGGATCCTTCAGCCTCGACTTGGTTGACGTTGGACGGAGAGCAAAACAAACAATAGCGTGGGGGTTCAACCACAAAAACCACAACAAGCGAAAATGCACATCATGTTTCGATCTCTTCGGTTTAGTGGATCTAGTCCATCAGTATCGACTAAACCACAAGAAGCGGAAATGAAAAAAAAAAAAAAAAAACGTTACCCAAGAACGACCATGTCATATCCGCTTACTCGGGAAACGCTTCCCAACGACCAAAATCCATCTCCATGGGTCCTGAAGAGCGACAGCGGCACCAGGATCAGCTGCCGTAGAGCCCAGGACACGTAGGCCCGCAGCCCATACCTCGAGCTCAGTCATTTCACCGCCTTTGGGAACTGAAAGCAATGGGAAAGACAAAGTGTATAGAAGAATGTCCAAAATTTCAACCATCCCACTGGAAACCCACTTAAACCAACCATAAGCCAACCTTAACCACCTGTACAACCCCAAACCAACCTTAAACTGATCATAAACTTGCCCGTCCTATCCTAAACCAACCCTAGTCAAGGCCCTAGTCAGCCATATTTGGAATTCATTCTGTCAGACCTCTCCATGTCCCTTCAACCCCTACGACAAAAACCAACAACGAGTCCGAGGAGAGTTCGATTCTCACAAGGATTCTGACTTTCTTGAGCCCTGCGGCCCCTTCTCGGGGAGGTCCCCTTTGACTTGAGAGAGGGCACGGCACGAGCAGGAAGTAGGCCAGGATCAGCAACAGCAGAATCACCAGGCTGGAGACAGCCAGGCCTGAAGACGCGAACGGATGCTTCGATATTTCTCGGTTGCTTTCTGCTCCCCTGCCAAAAGTTTAACCTTTAGTAAGGGAAAACCCATTGGTTGGCAAAAAGCTAGAGTCCTAACATCCAAGCAAAATGCACCAAATATTTATAAAAGTCGTGTTTGGCCCACAAGGAACCAACATTAGCAGTTCAGACTGATTTATGTTGGTGGTACAGATGTGAAATGCGCTTGCTATGCTGACAACGTGGGCCAATCGCCAACGGCGACCGTGAAGCATCAAAAGTCATCACGCTGTCCATCTGACAGTGGCTGGGATACATATTGACGAAATGAATGGAGATATCTCCAAATCCCAGTGTTCCCCATGGAGTCATCACCCCAGGGACGACACTAACTGTGAATTGGCCCAACAGGTTTGAAGACAGTATAGGGAACCCTTCAAGTCACGCTGAAACAAACAAGTGCAACGGACGTTTGCCGGGGTCTCCGGTTTCGACCCCTTGCATCTGCGCGTCGGCACCCCGAAATCCTATTTGCACAGTCGCCCCTCTTGGACCCTCTCTCAATCCCCTTGCGCCTTGCTTTGGAATCATGTGCAAGTAAACAACTTTGGGAGGGCCCTGGTCTCTTTCGTCAACCCGTCTTTGGCGCCAGTAGGGAAACACCGAAAATGTGACGTTGCACTATATATGTATGTATATTATATATATATATATATGTATATGTATTTGTATCGCAACACTATCCACAAGGAAAATGGGCAACCATCCCTGAACCGAATCGTGGTAGTACTGCCCGAAACGACTCATGCTAGCAATCTCGAGCTTCACACTTGGACATTCGTGACTGTTGACCACTTCTGACAGGAAGCTGTAATTTGTCACTCACTCACTCAAGTTCGCATGGGGCCTCTGTGGGCGCAGCTGGTTTATTGGGGGGGCCCAACAACGGCAACAGCCAGTGCACACGTGTCTGTGGAACATGGATCGGTCGTAATAACTCGGTTGCTTTCTGCTCCCTGCTAAAAGTTTAACTTTTGGTGGTTTAATGGAAAACCCACTAGTTGGCAAAAAGTTAAAGTCCTAACATCCCTTGGCAAAATGCATCAAACATTTTTTAAAAGTCGTGTTTGGCCCACAAGGAACCAACACTAGCAGTTCAGACTGATGTAAAGTCGGTGGCCCAAAGATAAGACCTTGTGGCAGCCGTTGGATCGCCTGGGGGTGTCAGCAGCCAAACATCGCCGCGGCTGCTCGCCTCTGCGGCGCCGCTCGATTCGATCGATCGAGGCCGATCTCAAACAACATCAACGGATCTACATGGCTGTGGTTGTCAAAAATAGGGCAACCCCAACATGGGTTGCCCTGGCAAATGGAAACATAGACTGAAACCTGCAGTCCATATTCTGGTGGCTTAGTTTTGATCCACACATCCATATTCTGGTGGACAAAAGCCCTGCGGCCCATGGTGGCGATTTGTTTTTATCCACAGCCACATGTCTGATTCCAATGCTCTGCTCCTCACAGGTTGGACCTGGAGAGACTTGGAGTTCTCCTTTTGGAGAAATGTGCTTGCCACAGTCTAACCTTGCTGAGGTACCGGTGGCCATGCAAACAATTCACAAAAAATAAGCTAACCGCAAGCAAAAACAATTGAATCATAGGATGTGTGTTTGTTTTACCCCAGCTCAGGAAACCGCTGAAGCCCAACGGACATGTGACAGGTGCTGTGCTGATGCCTTTCAAATGCCCAAAAGGGGGAATTTTTCGGACCCGCAAAATTTGGGGCCCAAGAGGGAAGCAGGGAAAACCCCAGGAGATATGAGGCCGGGGGCGACTGTTCCACACGTATCTGCACTTCCAAATGCTCGAGTTGGCCTGAATTCAGGAATCATGTCAAAATGATAACAATTATTGATTTCGTTTGACACAACAATCCACAACGCTTAAATCACAATTGTTGAATGCCAGCAAAAAACATGACGTCTTCCCATCTAAAGAATATTGATCCTCCACTTGCGAGGTCGTTTGTGAAACCAAGCTTCTCCAGGCTCGCAAAAAAAAGAGATAGCAACAAGGACAGCAAAGTGCGTTACATCATTCCAAATATTGACATAAGAAATCCCCAAATCTTGCCGTATGCTTCTTTTGCCCTGCTTGGTAAACCTTCCAATTTTGGTTAGTGTTGCCTAGCAAATGGGCACTGCAGCTCTCAAACAAGAGCCAAAGTGACCCACCCCCCTTAATCACAGTGGTAGGTCCAAGCGAATGAACCCCAGTTTCCGACTTTGATAACCCCAGAATCACTCTTAAGATTGACAATCCCAACGGTCGGCGTCGGCTTTCCATGCCGTCCATGCCAGCTGGGCGCGCCTTGCCATCCCCTTCGCTGCTGGCGGCGCTCTCACAGGTGACGTTGTCCTCCCGGCAAAGGGTTCCTATGTCCCCTTAAAACATCGCTCAAAACGGAATCCTTAAAAGCACTTGGACCTTCTACCACTGCTATTCAAACAAACCTTGCCCACCCTGATCCACAAGCCACAACCAAAGGCCCCCCTGATAACTGTTAAGGCTGGATTTGGCCTTATCAACAGTGTTCGGTCCTCCTAAGAAACCGCCTGGCGGGAGTGTCATGTCGGGTTGCGATTCACAGAGCCAGCTTCCAAATGACAGCCAAACTGCGGTTCACCGCTGGGGCTTGGCTGGCCTTGGACAACATGCCCGGCGAGCAAAGATAACCAGGAGCTACAACGAATGCTTGTATAGTCATGGTTCAAAACCAATGGTACCATTTTGGGATAGGTCACCACCCATTTTAGTCTATTTTAGTGGGGATTGGGATGTTCACTGGGGGTACGGGGCTTCGACCCACGTCCGTATTTCTTCGGCCTGCCATGCCTAAAGAGTCCCTAGTTATGACCACGCTGGGTCGCACTTCTGGGAGAACCATCCTTCAAGACGTACCCAACATCATGAACCAAAGCGTTCGCCACCGAGCCCAACTTTGTTCAAGTCAAGTTCAGAACTGGGCCAATGGCCACGGCAAAACACACAACATCCGTGCCCCTGTTTTGCCGGAGAAAAAACAACTGCAAACAAATAAGTCCTTTTCTTAGATCAAACAACACCGTGTCGGCCCCTTTCTTTTCCGTGTATCCAAAAAGGGATGGGTGCTGCAAAGGAAAACGAAAAAGCAACCGCTCTCTTTTGTCCAGCTTCGAGAGGCGCTCCAAGAACCCCGCTTTGTGAAGCAAACGCCCGTGTGTGTGTGTGTGTGATTTCCTACGTTGCTTCCGAGTACATTTGACCAAGCCAGAACCTAGTTGGCGTTTGGGCAAAGATACTCAATGCCCAGTTGATTGGTGTCAAAATAGTATCTTCATCAATTTCTGAAAATTCACAACGGAAAACAAGGAATTCCCAGCTACGGAAACTTCATAAGCTCCTGCTAGCTGAGCTTGTTACCATTTTCGGCGGTACGTTATCCAGTGGATTGACCAAGTCACTCGATTCCCAGTGGGTTCCCACCATTGACAACCCTCCGATCGCGTGAAAATGAACTGCCCGCCTCGCCCAGGATCCTCGGGGCAGGACTCCACCAGTGGTGAAAGAGACTTTTGCACATGACTTTTTCTTTTGAGGGCAAAAAAACAGTACTTGGTCCTCCAGTAGAGAGGCTAGAATAAGGGTACCCTTTTTGGTGTAGTCTATTTTAGTAGGGGGACCCTCCCCCAAAAAAGGGGTACAAGGGCACTAGTGGGGGACCTAGAGTAGAATGAGGTGGGGTAGTGATGAGAGAATCAGGTGTGTATACGGTTTGCCCTGATTGACTTTTGGCTGTGGGGGAAACGGCAGCTTTGCTCGCTGAAAGGCTGAAGGTGGAACCGAAGAGGAAAGTCCGGACTTATTTGGCCCAGAGCTGCGCCTTGGAAAATCAGGCCTCAAGGAGGTGACAAGGCCCACAGACACAGAGTTGACAGGTTTGACCTGCAAAAGCCCCCGGCCATCGTAGGCGAGTCCGAGTCAAGGCCGAAACCAATGAAGTGGTTCATGGTCTGTGAAACTACCCAACGAGCGCTGGAGACTGGCAATGTCGGCCGCATTGCATTGCAACAGGAAAGGTCTTCCTGAACCCCTGAAAAGAAGGAAACTCTCTCAAAATGACTCGGGGAAATGATGAGTAGGCAAAGCTAAACGAAACTTCACCAGGAGAGTCACATGGAAACACGTAAGGACTTAGGACCCAAATCAGTCATCATCCATGTCATCGGATTTTGCATTTCGACCCCTCATTTTCTAGTGGTCATTTGGTAGACGTGCCTGATGCCATCCCCTTCCGACACAAACGAGGGATGCTCCAGGCAAAGAGTTATGGAGATCACTCGGTTAAAAAGAGTTTTATTGATGGATGGGCTCCAGGCAATAGCAATGCAACTTACACTTCATGCCCCTCACGTTGATGTCCAGTGGGTGCCTTATATGCCTGCTCCACACCACAAGGAAACTCACCTACCTTTGGCAACGTCACAAGGTGTTTATAATGGTTTTCCAGGCGACCAGGAAAACCACCCCCTGTTCAACTGCTTCCCCATCCACAAGGGGAAACTGCCTGAAAGTCTTGAGCAAGCCATAGTCGAAACCACCCCTGTTGAACCTCAACCGGGTAACCGAAGAGCACAGATCTTTTTGCATCTGGGAAAATACGGATTTTGCCTTCCCCGTTTTCCGTGATACCAAGGGGGGCCGCGTACCAACAAAGTAGAGACGGGAATATCGCTTCATGGCAAGGCTTGCTTCATAGAATCCCCTCCCACCTTCGCCAAATTCTACCAAATAGGAAAATCAACAAACTCAAAGACAACTTGGGTGTGAATTTGCTTCTTGGTCAAGCGTGACGCGGAAGGGGTCCCTATTCTTTCCCCCCCTCCCTCTGGTGTCCACCGATACGCAATAAGCCCTGAGTCATGCCTTCGGGAAATGGGAGTTCTGTTACTCGCTTTCTGAGTGGCCAAACAAACGGCAAGCTGCTGGTGTGGCCAACCAAGAGAGCTGCTGGTCAGCCCACTTTCCAACAACTAGCCACTTATTTAAAAAAAGAACAAAACACCTAAAAAAAACAACTTGTTGCCTGCCACTTTCCCCATGGCCTTCCAAACTTGCCGAGCTGCTGGTCAGGCCCCGGGGCATTGGACATGAAGAGCCCATCGGTGGTTATGCGATAGGAGCCTCAGGGAAGATCAGGCCCGGGGGCGTTTAAAAGGCATGCTCAGGCTGACTGAGTGCCAAATTTCGCGCCAAATAAGGCTAGGTCCAGCAGAGAGGCTAGAATGAGGGTACCCATTTTTTGTGTAGTCTATTTTAGTAGGGGAACCCTGCCCCAAAAAAGGGTAAAAGGGCACTGCTGGGGAACCTAGAAGGTCAAATCCCCGCTGCACAAAGCTCACTGGGTGATGTCAACCCTTTGGGTTGAACGTGGCTGCAGGCCAATCAAGTTCACACCTGAGATCAGCGAGTAGAGCCTGGAGCATGAGCAGTGTCGGGGAACCCAGTAAATGAGTCAATGAATGCAAAACTAGGCTGCCAAGACCTGTGCTTGGCGCATTTCTATGGAAACACATACCCAGGTGAGTGCGATTCATCGCTGCTTCAATAGCTTGCCTCTTGAACTGAGGGGCAAACAGCTTGCCACAAGCCATCCTGTACCGACGATCAAGTCAAAGAGAGACCAAGACCTCCTGGATCTGAGTCGGAGCGTTTTCAGGTCCTGAAACTGTTCGACCTTTTCTAAATGCTCTGCTAGCCCCAAGGGTTGTTTGGAGATAGAAATTCACCAAATGCCGAAGGTACACGTGGCAACCTGCTTCCGAATTTCCGAAGGGCGAGACACTTTTTGGTTGGAAACCTCTCGGGGCTGCCAAATTGACACGCACGCGCACAGAGACACAAAAACACACAAAAACGCACACACACACACACCCACACACACCCACACACACACACACACACACACTTGAACACACACTTGAACACACTTGAACACACTTGAACACACACACACACACACTTGAACACACTTGAACACACACACACACACCCACACCCACCCCCACACCCCCACGCACGCACGCACGCACGCACGCACGCGCGCACGCGCGCACGCACGCACGCACGCACGCACGCACGCACGCACGACACACTCCTGTTAAAGGAAACTCGTCTTCCAGGACCATGAGTCAGTTTCTATGTTATATGGCTGTGGGTGAAAAATAGGGAAACCCCAAAATGGAACCCTGGTAGATGGAAACATGGACTAAAACCTGAGGCCTCCTGGTGGTTCAATTTTGGCATGCCCATATGTTCGTGAAGGGGAGGGTAACTACTACTTGGTTGACGTTGGAAGGGGGGCAACAATTCTCAAATTTTAGCAGTTAAGTGGTTGGATCTCAACCACTAAACCACAATAAGCAAAAATGCTCAGGATGTTTCCCAGCGACAACCATGACTAGGAGAAGCCAGATCTTAAGTCTCTAGGTCGCCTCCACTGGCCTTAGGGCTCAGAAGTTCAGGACCCCACATGGTTGGCTGCAACGTTGAAACTTAATCCGAATGGTCCAACAGAAAAAAAAAAAATGCAAATGACCCAGGTAATCAAATGCATCAATGTAAGTTGGATTGACTTCTCACTCAAGGGAACGCTCCATGGCGGATTGATACCCCTTAAGATTGAACATTGAACAACATGATTGAATTTAGAAATCCCCCCATTTGGTTTAAGTCCCATGGAACAAATGAACATATGTCCAGCAGTGAAAACATAGATTCCCTTGTAAAACCTTAAGGGGAAACTCAAAAATATGTCTAACCAAATGGACAAATCCTTGTGGCTCTCTTCCCGCAGCCCAAACGGGGCCGCGGACCCATCCCCAACGAACCGTTCCCCGTGGATCCACACGGCAAGCATCATGGAGGCCATCGGAAGCAGCCTGGCACGCCCGAGATTTCGGGCATCCGAGCAGGGGGTGCCAGCTGTGTGTTTGTTTGTTTGTTTGTTTGTTGGTTTGTTTGTTTGTTAGTTTGTTTATGTTGTAGAATTGTCATGTAGAATTCGATGTCCGGAAAGAAACACTTGAATCCTTGTGACTTGCGCATGTGTACTGAGATGCAAAATCAAAGGCAAGCATGCTAAGCAATGGGCGCTGAGTAGTCCGCGTGTTCAACATCATACACGCAACTCGGTGATGCAATGTGGCATTGATAGCTTTCAGGTTTGGCTGCATTCCCCAAGCGAAATGAATACAAAACAATGTGTTTGTTTTTTGCGCGGCTCTAGTACACAATTGGCACACGTATTCGTTGGATTCATGTCTGTGCGTGTGACCATGTAAGCGCACAAACAAACACACATCCAGGGACCAAGGACAAACACAAACAGCCAGAGACACGCGCACACAGGCAAACAATCACACATTTATACACAAAAGACACATGCACGCAGACACGCGCGCGCCCACACACCGAAACACACAAAATCAGACCCACACACACACACACAAAGAGCCATACACAAACTGCCAAACAGACAAACTGATCGACTGAGAAACAAAAAATGGCTAGAAAGGGCAGGAAAAGGCAGGGCAAACCAACAAACCAACAACCAAACAAACAAACAATCAAACAAACAAGCAAGCAAACAAACAAACAAACAAAAACACAAACAAACAACACACCGGCAAGGGCACACACACAAACACACACACACAGACACATGTGTACAAACACACACACACACAATCTCGCAAGCATGCATGCACACATGTACGAGAGCACACATGCACGCACACACACACACACACACACACACACACACACACACACACACACACACACACACACACACACACACACACACACACACACACACACACACACACGCACACGCACACGCACACGCACACGCACACGCACACACACACACACGCACACGCACACGCACACGCACACGCACACGTGTGCGTATATATATATATATTCCTATATTATTTATATTGTATATACATACATGTTGATACACATATACATAATTACAAACACTCGCGCACACAAGAACACTCACACGCGCACAAGCACACATGCACTCGCACTCGCCAACTCACCCGCCTGCGTACACACAAAATGTACACTCTCGCGCACACGCGCCCCCTGGGCTCTGAATCAAATCAAAGGGAATACAAATGCACTCTTGAAACCGGTAGGCCCTTTGCGCTGCTAATTAGATCCACTCACAAAAAAACAAATGGTCGGCTTTACTCAGAAACAATTGAATAGTCAAGAAGCTCGGGAAAGGAGGCGACTTCAGCCTATGAGAGCACGGTAGCCGCAGAAACAAAAAAACACATCGTATTTTCTTGGAGCGTGTTCGCTCAACAGTGGGCAGCCCCCCTTGATCGTATCCGAACCCTTTTGGTGCACAGATTTCCTTGTTTAAGTCATTCTCTGCGTGGCACCCAGTCTGCAAGCCGCCAGCTTCCCATCGCGATCCACCCGGTCCGGAGTCCCCTACCTCCATTTGCTTAAGTCCCCTGGAAAAAAATGTGTCCAGTAGTGAAATCGATTCCCTTTAAAGCCAACAGGGGAAACAAACAAATAACCAAATGGAAGCCTATTTCATGGCACACCCAAACCGAAGACAGCAGATCAGGCGACGGGAGCAGGGCATTGAGGCGCTTTCCAAGCGAGCGTAGGTGGCCAAGCACCTGTGTCACAATCAAGACCTGATACACAAACTGTGAACCCAGAACCATGAGGGAACTGAAAAGGCGGATATCCTCAACTATTTCCGTATTTCCGGCTGGGACTGTTTCTTACTAACCGTCATCTACCCGGGTTTTGATTGTGACTCACCTGTGTGAGCTGGGGCCATTCAAGGGGGGATGCGAACCCTTCTCTATGGCACACCAAAAGGATCCTCTTTTAGGATTGATTTTGAACACCTCAGGTAAGCAAGTGGTTAAAGCCTGTGTTTTCACACTACCTGTAAGCCCTGAGACGGGTCGGGTGGTTTAGACCAAGTGGGCACACTGGTTTATCTTCTGAAGCAACCTGAAGTCTGCAAACAACTTTTCACAGCAAACATCCAAAGGCATAAGGAATGGCAGTCCGGACAGGGTGCCCCTCTGATTTGCTAGGGGTTGCTCAATAAGCTCGCCTTCAGCGATGTGGGTCATGTCGATCCTGTAGGTGTAAATGGCACCTTTAAAGTATCTATAACCTTACTCAAACTACCGGCATCTCTTCTTGACCTAACCTCTTTGCAACAATTATGCAAGAGGACAGGGAGCTGCCCCCAAAAGCAAAGCAGCTTCCCATTCTTGGTGGAGGGGTGACAGTGTGACATTCCCGGAACTGAGCAACAAATCATCTTTGCCCCACGGATCTGCCTCATACTTGCAAGATGCATAGAAGTTCTCGCAGGACTCACGGCAAAGGGGAAGAGACGCATTCGAATCATCACCTCAAACGAGCGGGCTCCTCGTGAGCGACATGTCAACAGCCCGGAAAAAGGCATGTTCCTTGACTGGCTGGAACCCTGCTTGGTCAAGGTTCAATCTTTTCAACACACCTGGGAATTGAAATGAGTGCTAACGAGCATCAATTCAGTACCGGGCAAAGATTTCAGATGGTACCAAGGTCTTGGGAGGTTTACCAGTGGTAGGGTTGAGGTGTTGTTTTTTTACTAGCCCCGGCTTTTTACTAGCCCCGGCTCGGCACAAGGCCTCCCTCCAAAGAGGTTGGGCTGGTGGCAGCTCAGGGTTGATCTGGGCTGGTTTGGGGTGAGTGTTGGCTTGCTCAGATATTAATGCGGGCGGTGGCTTTCGGGTTGCTTCAGGGTTGCTTCGGGTTGCTCCACAACCAATCCTAGCCCAAAACTTGCAGAACCACATCCCTGAAGCAACACGAATCAGCCCCAACCACCCAACCGCATCCTGCATATCGGCCCTTTGCCGAGGCTAAATCAACCCCAAACAAACCCAAGACCCGCCCGCATTAATATCTGAGCAAGCCCACCCCAAACCAGCCCAAATCAACCCTGAACTGCCACCAAATCAAAGCCAATAGGCAGCTCTCGTCCGAGTGAGGCCAGTAATGCTGGCGATGCGGCCGGCTATCCCGAGCATCAAGTCATGCCCCATACGCAGCCGTGACAAGAAACCGGAGATGCTGGGGATGCTGGGGATGCGGCCGCCCAGCTGACCAACCAACCAACCAACCAACCAACCAACCAGTCAACCAACCAGTCTCCGAGCCGGGGTTGAGCCCCAAGCCGGGGCTAGTAAAAAAAAAATCACCGGTTCCCAGTGGTAGATCTGCCCAAAAAATTCAGGTTCCCTATTCGGAAACCCTGACCTCAACTCAAGCTCGCTCATGAGTACGAAAAGGCTGACTTCTCATGCAGAAGATCTCAATTCCTGAGTCTCTATGGAAGCCAAACCTGGAAAAGGTCAACAGCAAAGATTGCCAAACTTGATTCACAGCGATGCGCTTTGGGCAGTCGCCAAGTCGATGAACTTGGCTGATTGTTCGAGGGCATGTCCCCACAGCAAAGGATTGCCTCCAAAACGGGGGGTCACCCCCACGTGAATCAACGAGGGGTTTACTCATCCTAGATTCCCATTACCATGCCATTGCATCTTCTTTCCAGGCCGGGCCACTTGGAACTTTGCCGCACTCTTTGGTGCTGCGACATCGCATTCAAACTCTCGGCACACCATGCCCTCTGTAGGTTACATCCAGCGAGGCCGAAACGCGCACACGTCGAAACCAGATCTATAGTCTATCGAGTTTAATGGAAGTGTCCCAACATGTGCGACATGTGGCTGTGGGTCAAAATCCCGTACCCCCAGTGAACATCCCAATCCCCCACTAAAATAGGGACTAAAATGGGTGGTGAATTCACCTACCAACCAAAATGGGATCCCAAAAAGGTTTTGAGCCATGCCCATATGGGACGGGGAAAGAACGTGTACTCAACGGTGAGATCCCTTCCACGTCGGCTTGGACTTGGAAAATCGCACATCCAACCCCAGACCAGCGAACAAAAGAGTTGAAGAAGCCGTTAGTCTGACACCGCACTGGACTCAGACCAATGTTGGCTACAAGGTCGCCGACAGCATACCCCAGGCATCAAAGCACAACTTAGTCGTGCACTTCTTTGCAACAGAACCCGATCTCAACAAAACTTTCCAAAGCCATAGGGGCATTGAGGTCAGCACAGGCGACTCAAGCAACCTTGCCAGTCGCTTCAGCCTGCAATGACGCCTGAGGTGTCGTCCGCACCAACACCCGGCGCGCAAGACACGAAGATCGTGTCCATCTTGCCTCAGGCGCCACATCATCAGACCGCATTAGACGACCCGCAAGCACATAAACACAATAACCATTCTGCCGAGCTACAGTGGTTGTCCAGGGGGCAGCAAATGGAGTAGAGAGGAAACTTGGCTTGCTGATCATGCGGCGTGCCATCAAAGTACGAGCGCTTGGAAGTGCAGCAGTGCATGTTCTCAGCACAAGTGATGGCCGTACCGAGCTCCGGGTGGCACGTCTCTCCGCTTGCATCATTCAGCTCAAGTTCATACTTCTTGTTCTCCTCCATCTGGCGAGAGATCAGCCTTAGCTTGTTGATAGCCAAAAGGGTCAAAAGGACCTGCCCCCCCTTCCAAACCTGTCTCAATCTGCTCCAAGCCATTACCTGACCAGCATACTGCCTAGCAACAAAATGCACTGACCTGGCAAACGCCCAAGCCTCCACAGACAGTTAAAAACAAGAAGGATTCCACAACAACACCTCTTAGCCACCTGCCACGACTTGCAGCCAAAGAAGCGCCAAGGCGTGCGTGTCAGCAGCCGCCTTCGCATCCTCCTGCAGTCCTGCAATCACGCCCGAGGTGTCGTCCGCACCAACACCCGGCGCGCAAGACACGAAGATGGTGTCCATCTTGCCTCAGGCGCCACATCGCGTCATCAGACCGCATTAGACAACCCGCAAGCACATACACACAAAATCCATTCTGCCGAGCTACAGTGGTTGTCCAGGGGGCAGCAAATGGAGTAGAGAGGAAACTTGGTCTGCTGCTCATGCGGCGTGCCATCAAAGTACGAGCGCTTGGAAGTGCAGCAGTGCATGTTTTCAGCACAAGTGATGGCCGTACCGAGCTCCGGGTTGCACGTCTCTCCGCTTGCATCATTCAGCTCAAGTTCATGCTTCTTGTTCTCCTCCATCTGGCGAGAGATCAGCCTTAGCTTGTCGATAGCCAAAAGGGTCAAAAGGACCGCCCCCTCCAAACCTGTCTCAATCTGCTCAGAGCCATAACCTGACCAGCATACTGCCTAGCAACAAAATGCACTGACCTGGCAAACACCCAAGCCTCCACACACAGTTCCAATGCAAAGGATTCCACAACAACGCCTCTTAGCCATCTGCCACCACTTGCAGTCAAAGAAGCGCCAACGCGTGCGTGTCAGCAGCCGCCTTCGCATCCTCCTGCAGTCCTGCAATCACGCCCGAGGTGTCGTCCGCACCAACACCCGGCGCGCAAGACACGAAGATGGTGTCCATCTTGCCTCAGGCGCCACATCATCAGACCGCATTAGACGACCCGCAAGCACATAAACACAAAATCCATTCTGCCGAGCTACAGTGGTTGTCCAGGGGGCAGCAAATGGAGTAGAGAGGAAACTTGGTTTGCTGCTCATGCGGCGTGCCATCAAAGTACGAGCGCTTGGAAGTGCAGCAGTGCATGTTCTCAGCACAAGTGATGGCCGTACCGAGCTCCGGGTGGCACGTCTCTCCGCTTGCATCATTCAGCTCAAGTTCATACTTCTTGTTCTCCTCCATCTGGCGAGAGATCAGCCTTAGCTTGTTGATAGCCAAAAGGGTCAAAAGGACCCGCCCCCCCGTCCAAACCTGTCTCAATCTGCTCCAAGCCATTACCTGACCAGCATCTGCCTAGCAACAAAATGCACTGACCTGGCAAACACCCAAGCCTCCACACACAGTTAGAAACAAGAGGATTCCACAACAACGCCTCTTAGCCATCTGCCACCACTTGCAGTCAAAGAAGCGCCAAGGCGTGCGTGTCAGCAGCCGCCTTCGCATCCTCCTGCAGTCCTGCAATCACGCCCGAGGTGTCGTCCGCACCAACACCCGGCGCGCAAGACACGAAGATCGTGTCCATCTTGCCTCAGGCGCCACATCATCAGACCGAAATAGACCAGCAAGCACATAATAATAATAATCATGAAAAAAACAAAACACCTTTCTGCCGAGCTGCAGTGGTTGTCCAGGGGGCAGCAAATGGAGTAGAGAGGAAACTTGGCTTGCTGATCATGCGGCGTGCCATCAAAGTACGAGCGCTTGGAAGTGCAGCAGTGCATGTTCTCAGCACAAGTGATGGCCGTACCGAGGTCCGGGTGGCACGTCTCTCCGCTTGCATCATTCAGCTCAAGTTCATACTTCTTGTTCTCCTCCATCTGGCGAGAGATCAGCCTTAGCTTGTCGATAGCCAAAAGGGTCAAAAGGACCCCCCCCCCCCGTCCAAACCTGTCTCAATCTGCTCCAAGCCATTACCTGACCAGCATACTGCCTAGCAACAAAATGCACTGACCTGGCAAACACCCAAGCCTCCACACACAGTTCCAATGCAAAGGATTCCACAACAACGCCTCTTAGCCATCTGCCACCACTTGCAGCCAAAGAAGCGCCAAGGCGTGCGTGTCAGCAGCCGCCTTCGCATCCTCCTGCAGTCCAGCAATCACGCCCGAGGTGTCGTCCGCACCAACACCCGGCGCGCAAGACACGAAGATGGTGTCCATCTTGCCTCAGGCGCCACATCGCGTCATCAGACCGCATTAGACAACCCGCAAGCACGTAAACACAAAATCCATTCTGCCGAGCTACAGTGGTTGTCCAGGGGGCAGCAAATGGAGTAGAGAGGAAATTTGGCTTGCTGCTCATGCGGCGTGCCATCAAAGTACGAGCGCTTGGAAGTGCAGCAGTGCATGTTCTCAGCACAAGTGATGGCCGTACCGAGCTCCGGGTTGCACGTCTCTCCGCTTGCATCATTCAGCTCAAGTTCATACTTCTTGTTCTCCTCCATCTGGCGAGAGATCAGCCTTAGCTTGTTGATAGCCAAAAGGGTCAAAAGGGCCCCCTCCCCCCGTCCAAACCTGTCTCAATCTGCTCCAAGTCATTACCTGACCAGCATACTGCCTAGAAAATGCACCGACCTGGCAAACGCCAAGCCTCCACACACAGTTCCAAAGCAAAGGATCCCACAACAACACCTCTTAGCCACCTGCCACGACTTGCAGCCAAAGAAGCGCCAAGGCGTGCGTGTCAGCAGCCGCCTTCGCATCCTCCTGCAATCCTGCAATCACGCCCGAGGTGTCGTCCGCACCAACACCCGGCGCGCAAGACACGAAGATCGTGTCCATCTTGCCTCAGGCGCCACATCATCAGACCGAAATAGACCAGCAAGCACATAATAATAATAATCATGAAAAAAACAAAACACCTTTCTGCCGAGCTACAGTGGTTGTCCAGGGGGCAGCAAATGGAGTAGAGAGGAAACTTGGCTTGCTGATCATGCGGCGTGCCATCAAAGTACGAGCGCTTGGAAGTGCAGCAGTGCATGTTCTCAGCACAAGTGATGGCCGTACCGAGGTCCGGGTGGCACGTCTCTCCGCTTGCATCATTCAGCTCAAGTTCATACTTCTTGTTCTCCTCCATCTGGCGAGAGATCAGCCTTAGCTTGTCGATAGCCAAAAGGGTCAAAAGGACCCCCCCCCCCCGTCCAAACCTGTCTCAATCTGCTCCAAGCCATTACCTGACCAGCATACTGCCTAGCAACAAAATGCATTGACCTGGCAAACACCCAAGCCTCCACACACAGTTAGAAACAAGAGGATTCCACAACAACGCCTCTTAGCCATCTGCCACCACTTGCAGTCAAAGAAGCGCCAAGGCGTGCGTGTCAGCAGCCGCCTTCGCATCCTCCTGCAGTCCTGCAATCACGCCCGAGGTGTCGTCCGCACCAACACCCGGCGCGCAAGACACGAAGATGGTGTCCATCTTGCCTCAGGCGCCACATCGCGTCATCAGACCGCATTAGACAACCCGCAAGCACATAAACACAAAATCCATTCTGCCGAGCTACAGTGGTTGTCCAGGGGGCAGCAAATGGAGTAGAGAGGAAACTTGGCTTGCTGCTCATGCGGCGTGCCATCAAAGTACGAGCGCTTGGAAGTGCAGCAGTGCATGTTCTCAGCACAAGTGATGGCCGTACCGAGCTCCGGGTTGCACGTCTCTCCGCTTGCATCATTCAGCTCAAGTTCATACTTCTTGTTCTCCTCCATCTGGCGAGAGATCAGCCTTAGCTTGTTGATAGCCAAAAGGGTCAAAAGGGCCCCCTCCCCCCGTCCAAACCTGTCTCAATCTGCTCCAAGCCATTACCTGACCAGCATACTGCCTAGAAAATGCACCGACCTGGCAAACGCCAAGCCTCCACACACAGTTCCAAAGCAAAGGATCCCACAACAACACCTCTTAGCCACCTGCCACGACTTGCAGCCAAAGAAGCGCCAAGGCGTGCGTGTCAGCAGCCGCCTTCGCATCCTCCTGCAGTCCTGCAATCACGCCCGAGGTGTCGTCCGCACCAACACCCGGCGCGCAAGACACGAAGATGGTGTCCATCTTGCCTCAGGCGCCACATCGCGTCATCAGACCGCATTAGACAACCCGCAAGCACATAAACACAAAATCCATTCTGCCGAGCTACAGTGGTTGTCCAGGGGGCAGCAAATGGAGTAGAGAGGAAACTTGGCTTGCTGCTCATGCGGCGTGCCATCAAAGTACGAGCGCTTGGAAGTGCAGCAGTGCATGTTCTCAGAACAAGTGATGGCCGTACCGAGCTCCGGGTTGCACGTCTCTCCGCTTGCATCATTCAGCTCAAGTTCATACTTCTTGTTCTCCTCCATCTGGCGAGAGATCAGCCTTAGCTTGTTGATAGCCAAAAGGGTCAAAAGGGCCCCCTCCCCCCGTCCAAACCTGTCTCAATCTGCTCCAAGCCATTACCTGACCAGCATACTGCCTAGAAAATGCACCGACCTGGCAAACGCCAAGCCTCCACACACAGTTCCAAAGCAAAGGATCCCACAACAACACCTCTTAGCCACCTGCCACGACTTGCAGCCAAAGAAGCGCCAAGGCGTGCGTGTCAGCAGCCGCCTTCGCATCCTCCTGCAGTCCTGCAATCACGCCCGAGGTGTCGTCCGCACCAACACCCGGCGCGCAAGACACGAAGATGGTGTCCATCTTGCCTCAGGCGCCACATCATCAGACCGCATTAGACGACCCGCAAGCACATAAACACAAAATCCATTCTGCCGAGCTACAGTGGTTGTCCAGGGGGCAGCAAATGGAGTAGAGAGGAAACTTGGTCTGCTGCTCATGCGGCGTGCCATCAAAGTACGAGCGCTTGGAAGTGCAGCAGTGCATGTTCTCAGCACAAGTGATGGCCGTACCGAGCTCCGGGTGGCAAGTCTCTCCGCTTGCATCATTCAGCTCAAGTTCATGCTTCTTGTTCTCCTCCATCTGGCGAGAGATCAGCCTTAGCTTGTTAATTGCTTGTTGACATGATCACGCTTCAGACCAAGCCAAGCTCAGCCCAACGTTTTTGTTTTACTTTGCTCCATGCTCCAAAACGTTGCCCCAGCTTCCTCCCCCTGCTTTCTCCGTCTTCAGCAGTCTGTCCAAGCCTGTTTCAATCAGCTCTAATGCATGGGTATCAAGCCTCATCTTGCCCAGCCTACTGCCTAGCGACAAAATGACTCACTTGGCAAACACTCAAGCTTCTCACATGACATGGCGAGGTGTTGAGATTTCAGCCTTCTAGGAACAGTGACTCTTGCAACAACACATCTTAGCCACCCACCATCTCCTGCAGCCAAAGCAGCGCCAAGGCGTGCTGGTCGGCGGCCGCCTGCGCATCCTGATCAGCAATAAGCCTGCCAGTGTTGCAGTGTGGCTTGCTGGATTGTCCCAGCTATGCATAGTCAACATGTGCTACCGTGTCAATTCCACGAAGCAAGGCACCCAGACTGGGCGGGTTCATGTACCCAGAGCTTTGTCTTGCTGAATCACAATCTGCGTGCCGCCCCTTTGTTTGAGTTGACCTACAGGTTGACAAGTTGAAGGCTCTCCCGGCAACGTTTGACTGCCATGCCAAATCACCCAGCGAACGTGTCAGGGTGCAAGGCAGTACAAGGGACTGTTTTTTGGGGCTGCTTCCCCGAGCAAATAGCAGGAGACAATGCATGACAGGCGGGCTATAAAACCAAGGCCTGTACATGTTCAGGCCGGCTCATAAACCCCCTCGTTTTGAGTGTGTCAGGTCTGTTTACATGTTGCGCATTTCTGGCAGCCAAGGGATGCGTGTTCTGCTGCTGCACTTACATATAAATGAATTCTTGGGATGACAAAGCGGAACCTGGCAAAAGAGGTCCTACACAGGGGCTATCAGCGCACGGGTCCCTGGTATGTGCGTCCTTCACGTCCATTTGCGGATGCCGAAGGATCTGCTTGACACGCAAAGAGGGGGTTAAGCACAAGGGTCTTGAAAACAGCGGCGTTGGCACCCGAAGCCCACGTTCTTGTGAACACTTTGTGCCGATGCTGGATGCTTCCAGCCTCAGCACACGTGGGAAAGGATGCATATGTCAACACATAGGCCTTTCGGCTCCTCACGCTCTCTTTCTGACAGCCCCGTATGCTAAATCAAAGAATGTAATTAGGCAGGCCGCGAGCTTGACACGCTCGACAAAGGAAACCGCCCATTTTGGGGGGGTTCCCAAATTTTGAGCCAAACCCACATGGTGTCAAGTTGGTTTTGACTGGAGAGGATTCAACCTATTTGCGGGAAGGGGTGGGTAGCGTTCTGGGCCCAAGGAGAAAAGCGCGCTTCGGGGCCCCTGTATGGGAAGCCGAGAGAGACAAAGGAACCCCCCCCAACCCAAGATAACAAAGAAACATGATGGAACAAAGATACTGCCGCCCGGTGAATGGGCGACTAATCACATTGGCCATCCTCAGCTCCCCAGAAGACTCAGGAAACCTGCCCCTGAATCGAAGACGTAAAGGAGACTCCTCTTCACTATATTTAAGAATGTAGAGACCTCAAGGTCACCCATTCAGTGAAGATGTATAAGGCTGTCCCCCGTTCTCCTCTAGGGCCTCTAGGCTCTTGTGGTTTTTCATTAAGAAACCGAAAGCGACGGCCAACCCAAAAAATGCAGCGTTCTAGGTTCTTGTGGCTTGAAATGTGACAGAAAAAACCGCCCCAGACGACTCAACGCCCAAAAAAGAAGCGACGGCCGCCGGCGCCTGGAGCTGCGGTGCTTCGTGCCGCGCATGTGCAGCAGCTCCAAGCTGCACTCCCCGGTGCACGGGTCATCTCCCAGCAGAGCGGCGTCAAAGGCCTGCAATGGCTCCCGATGCCCCGCCTTTTTTGCAGGGGACTCGGAGCCTGCATGTTTGGCACTGGAGTCAAAATGAAAACCTGGTATTTTCTAGTGACCGAACCAAAGACCATAACTAGAGTGGTAGAGATCCTCCAATAACTCGGACCGAAAAAATATGTTTGCCACTGGAGTCAGAATATCACAACCCTGGTATTTTCAAGTGACCATGTCATGTAAAAAAATGAAAAGGGCGGCCGCGACTCTTTATGGTTGGAGTGTCCCTTGCCAAACTTCATTCACTTACCTGAGTTTTGATTGTGGCTCATTTGATTGAGGTTGGGAGTGTCCTCTACTAACCTGGCTCAGGTCCACTTTGGTGCCTCGATGTACAGAACAGACTCTGGGAGTGCAGGTTTGCCACTGCTCGGCAAAGCAGAAATCAAGCGGACGGCTGCGGCCCCTACCCTGTGCGCAAATCCCTGCGGAAGCTTGGGGGGCTGTTCAATACTAGTGTGGTAGTTACCATCCAACAATTACCATTCAAGTAGACCCCAACATGATGGGTAGTTGTTGCCATCCCTCTACGACGATGAGGATAACCAACCCCATGCGTGTGTCTTGGTGGTTTGCGGCACCCCTTTGTCACCCTGCCACCACACGCGCGAGCACCGAGCGTCGCCTGCTCCGCTGCAGCTGCCAGTTGCACCACTACGGTCAATGCGGCGAAAGCCACGGCCATCTTCAAACGGATTTTAGCGCTATTGGCGAAGACAAAACGTACCCAAAGATATCTAAGCCGAAAAGCCACAAGGACATGACGAATGAAAAGCGCTCAAGAGAGACTGACAAGCGGTAGAACCCAGCATGCTTCCAGTTCCAGTCTAGCGACTTGACAGTCAATCGCACCTAAAATCAAAGGGCAAACGTTCGATGGCGAATGTGCAAACTCGTGTCGTCCCTTCCGGTAGCCAGGCTCTTTTGGTGCTCGGGTGAGCACGTACTTGGCACACACGCCAATTCCCACTGAGAAAGCGAGAACCTCCAAGTTGGGCTTCTTGATCTCCCTGACAAAAACGTCTTCAGTTCAAATCCCTGCCGGGTTAGAGCAGTTGGCAGTCGGCTGAGACGGCGGCACTTTGGGAAATTGTACCAGCACAGGGCGTTGCGCAACGCTGTGAAACCTCGGAACACTGCGTGGAACTGAAGCGCCTTGCGGCGAATATGAAACGCGCTCATCGTGTTTGGCGTCCTACAGGAAAAGACCCCTTGATGAGGGCCTCCATCCATACTCTATCTTTTCTCACAATGAGGGGTCGGAAGATGCTTTCGCCACATGAAGAAGTTCCAGTTCCCAAAACAAAACTGGCGTTAAACAGAGCAGACAATCTACGGGCCCTCCGCTTTGATATCTTGGTGGATCAACCAACAAAAACTTGGTAGGGGCTGCGAGCCAAGGTTAAAGCTTACTCAGTGACTAAATAATTAGCAAATAGTGAGTTGTAGTCAGCGTTGTAGTCGCACCAACGATCACATGTTTAACCGGGATGGTCATTTACGCGTGCTGCTCAGCTATTCAAGCACTTGGTTGGTCGCAATTGAGTACAGGCAAGCTTGGCAAGCACTAGTTTATGGCTGGTTATCCTTTGTGCCATTTGTTCGAGAAAGTAGGGCGGCAGCAAAAAACATGTTCCCAGAAGGTCATAAAAAAACACAACAACCAACATCAAAAGACATGCAAAGGTAGCCCGAAAAGGACATCACCTCAAAACACGCCTTCGCCTTACTCGGCTGGAACAATGTGAGTGCCTCCGGTCTTTGGGTCCTGACCAAAGCCGACACAAACTTGCGCGAAGAACCCAGAAAAGGCTCAAGCTTGGGCAACTCAATGGTGCTCTACTTGCCCCACCTTCACCTGCAACGGTGTGTCTTTAGAACAGGAGACCAACAGAAGCCACGCCCAGACTACATATCCCACCAAGCGGCCTCTTCCTGCTGAGCTTCTACGCTTCAGTCAGGTATTCTATCTGCAAAATTGTTTCTATAATTCAACAAAAAAACATGGCGTTCGCTCGTCCCGAATCGGTGAGCTCTCATAGAAGAGATGCAGAGCCTATGCACCCTGAGGCCCAGGCACTCCTTGTTTGACCTCTGTCAGCCGCCCATCCGCGAAATGTTGACTCATCTGGTTGATCAACATGCCGTGCACGGCCCCCCTCAAATCTTTTGTGGTGCTTTCCCAAAGGGTCACCCAATGTACAGGACCTTTTGATCAACCCCCCTCAATTCCCAAGGAGGTAATGAGAAGAACACGGCGCAAGCTATGTTGCGCCTGTGAATTCGCGTTGACAGACTTGACGCCTGTTTGGGCTCAATGAGTCTTACCAGCAGGCGCAGTTGTGTTGAGCTTGTGATGACTTGAAACAGCTTGCATTCCTGTTTGCGTTCAATTTAATGCCATGCAATCACGTGACGTGAGAAAGTGCTGTCAAACACATGCTAGAAGCATATCACGAGAGCACGGGTGTGTCTCATTGGCGAACCCAACGCTCTGCTGACTGCTTTTGTAACAACCGCAAACATGTTTCCGACCAAACTGACAGCCTCATGGCCCCAACGCTCTGGTTCCTGCTTTAAGCAACACCCCCAAAAATGTCTCCAACCAAACTGACAGCCCACATGGCCATAGTATGCCCCAGACTGCAAATCCACGCTCCACTGAGCCCGATCTCCGCCAGGCAACCTGTGCTTCCCCATTCCCTTGGCCAGATATCCTTCTGTTTAGAGAATGGATTCCCCAAAACCAGAGGAACTGTGGGTGAAGACGGACTGTTGTCCGAATCCAAACCATTTTTCCGGCCTTCAAAGTTAACCGATAGGAAGCTCAAGTGGCATAATCGCGATCTGCTGAATTGACTCTCTGGGATCAGCCTAAGAAACTTCGAGACCGTTCTCGCAAACACCATCTATTCCCATTCAATTCAGCTTGGTTTCACTCTATCAATTAGTGAAAGTTGTACACAGGGTGTCACTTTTTGAGTACCCAGGTGATGGTTCATGCACCCCCAAAGCAGAACCCCTAGTTGTTTTACGTCTATCTTGTAGTGAACAAGTGGGGTTCCTTAGTACCATGGTGCGGTAACAAAAGCGCGAGGATTTTTCCCGCATGACAAAAGTGGTGCAGGATTTCGTCCGTGAACAGTACCATGGTACGTTAACAAAGTCATAGACCAGGGCATCGGGCAAGAGGTGAATCGCCACGAACTCTTTGGGAGTGACCTGGGCTTTTTGGACCGTCGAAGCGAGGCAGCGAGGGGTCAGCCCGAACCTCCGGTGCCTGTGGGGAAAACAAGTCCTTTTTCAAGCTGAATGGAAGCCCTGAAAGGGCGGAGGGAGAGAGCGAGCGACAGAGAGAGAGAGAGGGAGAGAGAGAGAGAGAGAGAGAGAGAGAGAGAGAAAGAGAGAGAATGACCCAAGAAGTAGCATGACCTAACGTGTCAAAACTCTTCATGGCTTCCTCCCTGGAAGATCGACGAAGAAAGCGTACTTTGCCGCCAGCAACCATGGGTGCTGACAGGGGAGTTGCAAAGACTTCCGTGATTTACAATGGCCCAGAACCTCCAGCTCCATGCCAATTGGTCGATAGCACGCTTGATGCGGGTCAAACTCGAAACCCTGAGGGCTCGTTGTTTAAAGGGAAATAAAGATAAAAACCAGCCTTTGTCCGACACAGCTGCTTCGACCCCCAGTGCTGTGGTTCAGTCCAGGGGTCTACCTGGGGAACGTACGGCTTTGCTTTTGCGGGTTGTTTTTGGGGGGTTGCTGAAAAGGAATTACTTATCTGTAGGGTTCCGATCTTTGCTTACTTCCTTCAGTGATTCAGGGTCAGCCCGGCCCTTGGCACACTGGGCTCGGCATCGCTCAGCTTTGCTGGCTGCGAGAATCACACATCAGAATTTGATATATGTCCTTCTCCTCCAAGGCAGAAGTTAGGCATGGAATTCAAGCTATTTCCCGCTTTGACGGCTTCACGGATTCAATTCTACAGTTTCGTCTGATTACTTTCCGACACTCATCAACAAATTCTGAATCATGTTCAATCTTGGGCGGAGCCAAGATAGCATTCCCCGTCCCAAGTCGCGGCGGGGTGAGGTCGCAATCTGATTTGTCCCGAATCTTATTCCCGGCAGGCACACGTTACAACGCTAACAATTAGTTTGTCCAATGTTTGAAGGCCAAAGTCCCAAGAGCATCATTTCATGGGATGGAGATGGGGAAACGCAGCACTTGGAAAGAACTCTCAAACCGGAAATAAGCAAGACCCTCACTATTGAACCTTCATCATGTGGCCTGGAGTTGCTTGTCATGCCCCCCGCGGAAACCTCGTTCTGGATCGCCCCTTCTGCATAAGGTTCCCGCGAGTATGGGTCCCGCACGCATTTTTTCAAAATCACACCATCAGGTGTTGTGACAGTGCTGCAGCACTCCACGGTGAACTGCTTGGTGAATTATCTTGGTACGAATGGAATACTGTTGGGATACTATGCTCATGTTCTGGATGTTTGATTGCACCGAGTGTCTGAAATGGCTGTCGAGCATACCCAAGACTTCCGCTGGCCGACGAGGAAAAAGAGCCCACCGTCCTGTTGGCTGCTTCTGCTAAGGCACAAAACGCAAACGGAACCGAGTGCTGGCTGTCGACATGTGGCTGTGGGTCAAACATATGTACTCAAAATGGATCCTGGTAAATGGACACATGGACCAAAACCTGCGGTCCCCTGGTGGATTAATTTTGATCCTGGCCGATTCCTGCCCTCAAACATGTTGCTGGGCCGCCCACGTTCAGCTCCTTGGCCAAACGTTTCTCCACAACGCCCTGCGAAGGGCACGGCAGGTGGCGAGAGGACCCTCCTTTGGGACAAAGGCCAAAGGGTTACAACAAAAACACAAAGCAAGGTCGACCCAAAGCGCAGCCAACATATGTGTGCCTGGTTTGAACTCACTGTGGCCAACGACACTTTCTTGCTTGGTGGCTAACAAAGAAAGACATTATTTTACAAGTGAAAATTCATCCAACACATGCTTCAACAAGTTAACTAATCCAACGCAGGAAACAAACACAACACAACCAAAGCGATGCTTGTTCATCTTGAAGGGACACCCGTCCAGCAAAGAGAGAAAGTGAGAATGAACGGAAACAAGGGTGCCGCTGACAAGTGGCGTGGGAAAAAAAAAGCTGGCCGTCAGTTCTAGCTAGACCGTAGCATTCCAGTCATGGCCGTTTCCCTCTATACAAAATCAACTGGGATCTAAGCAAGCTATCCGGAAAATGATGAGGATGAAACACGTTTTTGCTGAAGTGTGGATAGCAGGTCAGGGTTGTTGACGTTTATTTGCACTCACACAGAATTTCCCCTGACGGCCAGGAGAAAAGCAAGTAGGGGATGCCCGAAAGTGTGCGGTTTCCACACGCGGCTTCCCCGATTTCCTTCCAAACAGAGAGACTCTTTTCAAACACACCCAAATGCACCCCCTGCCGGCTTCCTTGAGGGGAAATAACACGTGAGTCGGGCAATTCGGCAGCCTGCCATTTTCAGAAAACGCACATGGCAACTACCTGTTGTGTCAGCCCAAAACAAATCGGGACATAATGAGGTGGATGGCCACGACTTGCGTTCACCCACAGCCAAAAGGCAGCCATGGCATTTCACACGGCCACAAACCCGGCCGATACTCCAAGGCGCGCAGCCCTAATTGTCAACTACAGATAGGGATCGGTCTACCCCAAACTATGCTGATCTGAGGGCTGCGAATCGCCTGTGTCTGTGTCCGTGTGTGTGATATTTAGAGCTCGTCCCCCAATGCGCCTCCCAAATGAACCACACTCGATATGCGGACCGAGCGCTCAAATTTGAGCGCCCAAAACACCCGTGGCCCATTTCAACAGCTGGACCTTGCGAACTGGTTTCGGGCCGCGGGGGGGGGTGGGGATACTATTGGCGGAACAAAGTCAGTCCCAGAGAGCTCAAGCACGGTCTGAGGATGTACTTTAAGAGCCAGACAGTTGGTCATTTTGATTTTGGTAGAACCAAACGTCCATGAAACGGGCGCTTCTCATTTGGGTGTCTCAAAAGGGATCCCTAAACTGGTCTTTCCTCTCCCTCCCAACCAACTCCAAAAGGGTACCAGCTGAGCAGGAACAAAAACCACTCCCATTTCAATTTGAGCGGGTTGCGTTCTGCCGTGAACCCAGGAGCACAAACGTGAGTAGCCTGGCTGAAACGTGTGACACTTCGAACACGAGGCATGAAGCGGGCGCTGCTCATTTGGGTCCGAATTTTAATCAGGGACCCTTTGGTGGACAGAATTCGGCGAGGATCGTCCACCGCTTTGGAGGTTCCAACTCAGAAAATTCAGAATCTTTCCCCCATAATCAACCCCGGTTTATGAATTGGGGGGTGGGGGCCCCTCCAAGAGTGGTCTGATTCCAATCAAGCCCAGAACAACACCCCCCTACTGATAAACTGGTTGGTTGAATAATAGGGGTCAACATGCCTCCCAGTGAGTCCATTTCCCTGTGTGGTAGGCACCCAAAGGGCTTGCCACCACTCCAACGAAACAAGTTTTGGCTACCTATAGGGGTAGCTGCTTGAGACCCTGACGTGTCGCTCCATGTCTCTCCGCGCCTTAAAGAGCCTGGCCAGCATGGCGTCCTTCTTCGTCGCGTTCCAGTCCGGCCACAGCGGCTGATGCGCCGGGATCTCAGGCCCCAGAACTCCGAGCGCCCGAAGAAACCCTTTTTCGGTCCTGATCTGGGCTGTCCGTTTGCAGATCCCCCGCAAGTGACGAGCTTTTAGTGGGTTACTCACTTGCCCAAAGGACCCAGAAATAAAAGGTCAACCTTTTGGCACCTCCACTAAAAATGAACCAAAACGGGAAAACCAAAAGGTCAAAAGGTCGGCTTTGGGCAACTGAGGTTAAATGCAACTCCAACCACTAAGCGCTAAAGCATCTAAAAAGCTGAGGAACCGGATGGATGGGAGCCACCAAGTGATGATTCCCTTGCAAAGACCAACAAACCATGGCTTCAACCATGGATTCAAAGTGGTGCGATCCGACTTTGCCTAGCCACAGGCCTTAATTTTGGGGAGGGGGGAATGGGGGCACATTTTTTCGGCCTTCATGTTGCTATGAAACCAAGTCCATCAAAATTCGAGTGACTTTTGTCATATTCTCCTGGGGCCCTTGGTCAAACTATGGGTGTGTCTCACAATAGAGGGAACCCCCAACATGCAAAAAGGGAAGCATCAAAAACACACACCCAACAAAAATCCCGTTCATGATCATCTCCAACTCCAACCACTTTGACCATGGGTCTTGCGCTCAAGCATCTGTGCTTTGATGTCAACGTGTTTCATGTCGATTCTAGCTACTTCATAACTTTGAAGAATATCCGAACACCGTTGCTTAGATATCATTGCCCACAACCACCCTTTCCTTTGTTTCACATTTTGCACAATCTTCCACAACCAGGTGGGGGGTGGGCCCTACATAGCCCCTATGGAGAGATCACCAGAAAGTTGCATAAAACCGAGACCTGCAGTGCACATGGGAAACAAGCGCACGCCTTGGCAGTTCATGCAAAAATGGAAGCCCCTCCCCAAAAAACCATGCAAAGGCGAATCACCACGCTCCCACAACCAAAGCTGAAATGGCGATTGAATCCCCAAGTGGCGTCATTGGACCCCCAGAATTCGAGGACTCGCTCGCGGAAAAATAGGAAACAACGCCATGGGCACAGCAACCTTCCAACATGCCATTCGAGCATACACAAGCCCTATGAGGATTCCTATCATAGGCCATAGGGGTAGGGGTATGCTCAAAACCCAATGCTTCCAGGTGCCACAGTGGGCAACCAGGGTTTTATTGTCCCCAGGTTTGACAGCATGGCTTCCCCAGGTGTTCTACCATTCTTACATGAACCCAGACCCCCGGGGGCCATGGCCAAACACGGCCATGGGTCGGTAGTTGACTTCAAACAATGGAAATCCCTATAAACTTCAAGGTAGTTGTTGGAAATAGTATTTTGGTTGATCGCCTTTTGCTCGTGGTTGGACCCCCCGAAAAACGTCGAAACAGTTGGAAGCAAGCCACGGGGATGTCTCACTGAAGCTCTTCGCCTGAGCTCCGAACGCAGGCACGGTACTGCACCACGTCCTTGCAGAAGGTGAGCTGCTGACCGATGTTCGCCACCTGAAAGGATGCCGAAAACTGGGGCTCCATGGGTGGCTCGTCTTTGTTTCAGGGCACCAGTTTTTTGTTGGTGTTTTTACAAGAACCCTCAAGGAACACCTTCACTATTCTGCGGTCCCCCCGAAAAAGACACGCCTGTTGGGGGGCCCTGGAGGTCTAGCTGCGGGCTGGGAGCCCATCCCCTGAAAAGTGGGTAGCTGCCAGGGATCTGCGCAGAGTACCACCATTCCCTAAAGCACTGCAGGCCGTTTTTGTTTTAGGCCGTTTCGATTTCAGTTTGGATTCGGATGATTCTTCCATGGACAGTTGCATAGGAGCATCCCCTCAGGGACCTTCCATAGACACACATCTGGCTGAAATGCAGTATCCAATTCCCGAATCTGACATTAGCGGCTGTCATATGTGCGGTAGCCAACCAAAAACCCAGAAAGGTTGCTAGAAGTCACATTTGTCTTGCAAGGGGTCTTGCGCGCCAAATCGACTCATTCCCGCCTCATCCACGCACACCCCGTTGAGCCGCCCAGATCGTGCAGGCAACTCGCAGGAAGCGCCTGGCTCTGAGTCAAGACACCACGTACCTTCCCACCAAGTAAAATGGAACCTGAAAGGGGATCCTGGAAAACCATTTTCCTTTTAAAGGGACCCCCCCTGTCAGGTTCCATGTGAATTGGTGGGAGGGTAATCAATCTGGTCCCAGGCAACCACAAATCCGAAAAGAATAATCAAGTACTTGATGAACCTATTACCCCCAGGCAAGCTTGCCAGAACAATTGACCTTGTTTGTTTAATTTAAAGAGCCCACAAATCTGGAAAAAAGTGAGGAACTTCGCCAAATATACCAGGCTTGCTTTCCGAAGAATTGCCTAAATGGCAACTTTAGCGGGTTGTCGAGGACGAGTCAGACGGTCATGAGATGTCGATTGTGGATATTAACTATAGTTATCCTGGAAGAATAATAGAAGACACCTTGCTGGACCTCATGTGAAGCTGATTCCATGTCCGAGCGAGGGCGGGTAATACTGTTTGGGAAGTGTTCAAAGCAGCCTCTGGCCCCATTGAGGTGAGTGTGCGTTTCATAGTCAAGGCTTCCAGGATAGTAGCCCTCAGCTGTTGGTTAGATGACCTATGCGCACCACAAGTCACAATCAAGTCCGTCTATTTCTAGCCAAACTAACCTAAAAAGGATACACCTGTACCAAAGCTGTCTACCACAGGAAGGCGCACGCAAATGGGTCCCCACACGATACTTGTCAGTTGAAAGCTCTGTGAGCGACCCGAACACATCCAAGCATCATCCTAATCCTCCATTGCAGTTGGACATTTCAAACTTGGATGTCGCAGCTGTCAACAAAAAGCAAACGGCAAGGATGCAATGAATCTCAACAACCAAAAACAGGGCCAAATTGGGACCCCTATCATTCTAATTGAAAAGGACAGTAAAGGGAAACCAACAAGTGGAAACCGTGAGCTCAGTCTGGCGATGTGGAGAATCATCCCATGGGCTTTAGACTAAACTAGCTTTCACCCAAACATACGTCTGACTCTACAATAGATTGAGCCGACAACTAAACTCGGTTGCTTTCTGCTCCCCTGCTAAAAGTTTAACTTTTTAGTGGTTGAACGGAAAACCCATTAGTTGGCAAAAAGTTAAAGTCCTAACACCCAAGCAAAATGCGCCAAAGTAAAGCTGGTCAAAGTATGGCCAACTTGGAAAGCATTCGCAATGAGCCCACGTTCGAAATTGTTTGTTTCCCCAAAGGGACATGGCGAAATTCGGGCTCCTGCCCTGGTTTGGGGTTGTTTGTGTGGTGGAAGCTCTGGTCCGGCGGGTCCCCCGGAATAAAGCGGGCAAGTCACGAGTCACGTCCACTGGATGCCGTGGTTGCTGTGAATGTTGACTCACCCAGAGGTTCCATTTACCACGGCAAGTAACTGATGGAACCGCCATTTGAGGAGAATGGCTGGAATCCTGCTACGGTGGTGGCTGAGATCGCGTGGGCTATGTCCAAACACCGCTGTCACACAAAGCTCAGGAAAGGCTTAGATCCTCAAGTCTTTTCTTGGTTGCCGTTGACGCTGCAAGAAGTGGATCACTTGGGTCCAGCTTCTCCAGAGTTCTCTTTGAGCCCATGCTCAGCTTTGCTTCTTGAGGGCACCTGAGAATTGAACAGCGGCTTACCCAGCGCTGTCCATGTTCTGCTCCGCGAAACGTGGCCCACTTTTGGCGGGTTCAATGCGGAAACCTAACCACCAAACCAGCTAAGCTCTAAAAAACGCTAAGGAACCGGATGGATGGGAGCCATGGGACCTTCAATACTTTTGGGGTCCGGTCAAACCCAACAAAAACATCCGCGCCTCCCAGATGCTTTGACCTGGAGAGCGCGGATTGGCCAGAATTCCAAGTCTCATCCCAGGTACTGTTTAAAACCACCCTTCAAGGGGGCACCTAGGGATCCCTGAACGATCAGTCGGAAAACCTTTGCGACATGTTGGGTACAGCTGCATCAGAGGTGTCCGACACGGCCAAACATGTGGGCATGTCGTCTTAAAAGGTATGCTGGATGTTACCGGGGTCTGGACGAAGAGTGCCAAGATGCTTTGAGTTTGATTCCACATGGATTTCAAGGTCAAGTTTGTGGCCAAATCCGCATGAAACCACAAAGAACCGCTTAGCAAATTGGCCAATGGGGATGTCGGGTGCGCGTGGGAGAGTTCACCTGTTCGTCCCATTGAGGGGAACAGAGGAGTGAAACTCCACCAACTCCCCTCAGTCCTGAGCTAAGGAAGGTGATGAAGTGGCCCTAGATTTGCAAGCTCCCAGGAGAAGCGCAGCGAACGGGGCTCTTTTAGTTCTTGGGCCAAGCGAGAAAGGCCCCCTAAACGTGTTGACATGGGGTCTTCCAAGGAACAAATAATAACCGTCTGTGGCATTCAGGAATTGCAGACTTTGGGTTGCTTAGCTCCCTGTACAGGAGATAGTTTCCTCGAACAAAACCAAAGGGCGCCCCCCGCCCCCCATCTGGGCCCCGTTAAACGCCGGGCGCGAAAGAACCCCTGCAGCACTGATCTGTAGGCTCCTGGCCTAACATCAAAGATCCAACAGCCCAGACCTCCAGTGACCATGGGAAATCAAAAAAAAACACAACTTTCACCCCAAAAGGAAGCACCATCCCCACAGGCACAGACACACATATTACCGTATGTATATATATATATACCTCAGGTTGACAAACGCTGGCTACAAACCCTGGCGAACCCGAGCGACCGGGAAGCTGTGAGCTGAGGCCCCAGCCATACTCCTGGCTCCAGGTTGGAGAGCGGCGGCGCGCGGCCGCTGGGGTCCTGGAGGCTGAGAATTCACAGGTATCAGGAGAAGAAAAAAAAACCGGATTCACCTCAGAATTGTTGCCCCCCCCTTATATATATATATATATATATATATATATATATGGAATTGTATGTATATCATAAAATATACATACATCATATACTATGTATATAATATAATAAGTATATCATATAATATGTATATCAAATAATATATGTATATGATGTATATAGCGTATATATATGTATGATACCATATATATATATATATATGATATGTGTTTTGCTTCAGATGCAAGTTCGTCTAAAACAACTGATATAGGCGCGTGGAGGGGAAAGAAAGTGAACCGTTGCCCGGAACAAACGGGGGAGGGGGGACGTACCTTGAAAGCAAAACAGGAAAAGAGACGCACGCATTTGGAGCGTCACTTCTCAAGAGGCATTCTAGATTTGAAGGGTGGTTTCGCCACCTTGATTGTATTACACGTTTCAACAGCAGAAGGACATGAACCACCAAGCGGCATACCCACCTAGACCTGAAGTCTAAGGGGCAGAATCATAACATTACCCAAGCATCTCAAAGTCAGACTGGCGCGTCAACGACCCAAGTGGGGACATAATACTGGAAAATAGTAGGACTTTTGAGAAAAGGACCCGTCTGCAAGTGCAAAAAGCCCTGTTTCAAGGAGCACCTTAATGTCCTTAAGACCTGGATCAGTATCAATGGGTGTGTGTTGCTCACAAGATCGGGGTGAGGCTGCACAGTTGCACTTGTTTATCCTGGCAAAAGATGCCTTGCCAAAGCTCGACTTTTACAGGGCCGTTTACCAAAGGTGATTCTTTATACAAATGTCCAAAAAAGACAAGTTAAAAACTCGACAACATTTGCTAGTCAAATAGGGAAAATACACATTTTCCCATACAGGTGAACATCCAACCGAATAGCAGCCGACGAACAAACCCTAGATTCTCCTCGACACCCGAGGCTATGCAGAAAGCGATCGCGATCACCCGCAGCATGCAACCCCGATGAGCGCGACGCACTCGCACAGGAGCCGCAGAAACAGGGCAGGTTGGAGACGGTCTTCTCCAAGCCCAGAAAAGCAATGACACATCTCTAAGGTCACTCTGTTGCCCAGTGGGTTGCTTCCTTTTTCCCTTTTTTGGGTAAGGGTTCCCCTTTAAACTCAACCATCCAAACAAAGAGGCCCTTTTGTCTCATGGAAATCCACTGGGCATCTGAGGTCATTGCTTGGTCTTAATTCGGCCCAGGTGCTCAGCGATTTGTTTCAAGTCCATAGATTGATTTGACCACAAGGCATGACCGTGAAGAAGTACTTCTAGCAATTACGCGGATAGGCAGAAATATATGTTTCCCATCTGAATGGTCTTCCAAAAAAACAAAATACGTCCATTTACTCGAGAAGTGAGTAAATTCTTGGATGTGGCAGATGGGTTGCTGTGGGTTGCACAGCTGACTCAAGAGCGCATAGACCTTCGAGCATAATTCTCTTGAGTGCCTATTTAGATCATCATAACATGTATGATGTAGCCTCTCATCGAGGAGCGATCAGCATGCCTTAGACTAACTTGATGCACACATGGCTGCGGGGACAAGCCCGTGCCAGCTTCAACCCAGTCACATGCAGGCAAACCCACCTGTGTCCATCCGGTGAATCCGCCAAAGCAAAAACATGACGATGTCACACTTGCCAACATCTCTCTGGTTAGTCTGCATGATCCCAAGCACAATTTGTACACTGCATGCAATTACGTCCGTCTCGAGATCCCATGTCTGTTGTTTGAGCTCTTGCCTTTCTGACTGCCGCATCGCAGGTTTTCTTCTCTCAACCGAGTCTGGCACTGCGATCAGTCGACTGCTTCAAACTCCACGTGTCGATCCTGGCAGGTCAGCAGCTCCAAACGGCTGGGACACAGCATGAAACTGCCTCACCAACGTTGTCATGTTGCCAGTTTGGGGACAAGCCTTAAGTCCAAACTTGCTGCTCACAACACGATGGTTCCAAACAGGCTGAGGTACCACGTCGGAAGTGAGAAAGAGCGCAGACCTTTTCCAGAAAGCTGAACAGCTTCATTCCTCTTGGGCAAACCAGAGAAAGGGTTCCTCTGGGGCTCTTGAAACCCCAAGGCCAAAGAAGTGAGGCAGTCTTCATCCGCGAGTCAAAGACTGCTTCGGGTATGTGTCACCCTAGGCGCTCAACTCCTTGTTCCTTGAGGCCGGGCTGTGAAACGCCCTCAACTTTAGAGTCTGTAGTCTCGGGTCCCTAGACGTTGACAAGCCATGCAGGTAGGGTTCGATGTTTGACCTCCTTCCGCTGAAAACAAGAGGGGACCTTTGATTGTCCCTAGTCAACAGGTGGAAGACGTTTGGCCGATTCAGATGCGGCCAGGGATAAAACCGGATCCTGTTTTCAGAAGAAAAAAAAAGGACATGCACCACAGGTCGGGGATCTAATCCCATACTGGCCACAAGCCAAACACCCACGAGGTGTTTCTGCTTGTTCTCCGTTTAATCGCAATAAGGGGACCCTGTGATATGTTCAACATGTGTAAGCACTTATGCCGTCCACTAGTTGGGTTTCTCTTGCAGCACACCCCAAACAAGTTGCTGAGCTTCCCTTCAGTTCCCCAAATCACTCCAAAAGTGGTATCCTCTCGGGTGTCTTTCTTTGAGGCTAGAAACCAACAGGAAACCCACCATTTCCGGGGGGTCCGGGCCCCAGCCAAAAAAACCATGAGCAACGCATGCATCTCTGAAGGCATCCTCGTTGAATCGCTTCGAGGCCTGGAGGTTGCAGCCAACGCCCAAGGACCTCAGCCAACGCGTTGGACCGAAGCCTCGGGAGGGAAACCAAAGCAAACTTCCAGCCGGGATCCAAAGGCGGGTTCTTTTAATGGAACACTCGCCTGCGAATCGTCCAATCCATGTTCGAGGCTGTCACAGCAATGTGTTCCCTACAACGGCCGCCCCGCAGAAGTCACTTTTGGCATCATCCCTGCTAAACGGTCTCGTGGAATCATCCCCCCTCGGTCTATCAGACCTTTGTCGGTTTCTAGTCCACCTGAAAATGATGTCATTCGAAGGCATGTGATATGCGAAAATCGGGTGACCCTGCATGGTCAATGGGATGCAACACACGTGATCTAGAATGGTACACACACATATAACTATATGATTGTCTGCTTGCACAAAGCTACAACTTGGCAACCCGCTGGACCCCGCTTGGAAGGGTGCTGAGAGCTTCATTTGAGGATTCGGCCGCAGGAATTCTGCATCCTCGTCCGCCTCGACCCCCTGTGTCACTGGCTCTTCATCCCTCAACTCCTGGCGGGGCCCGGAACGTGCCCGCTTGACCTGTGGTATCCGTAGGGAATGCATCTGAAAACCAAAGTGATTACTTGGTTTGCCCGTCGTTTCCCATTCCACCTCCCAAACGCGGGTACCTGATACTTGAAAACCTACCATTTGCGGTGAGAGTCTACAAGACTTTCGTGTGTTGGGGTGTGTGCGTGTGTGTGTCATCCTTGCGGCAACCACATACACTCACAACAATCCATAATTACAGAACAACCAAGTGTCGACATCAACAATCACAAACACACAAACCGAAATCGACAACTATCTATCTGGACGGAGTGCAAAGTTCAGAAACTGTTGTGTCTTGAAATCCTCACAGTCTCCAGCCAAAAGGGGGTCTGCGGTCTGCTGTATAGCCCAGTTGCGCAGTGATCCTTTCAGAAAAGGGAAACATGAAACATAATCAAAACCTGGCACTAAAAAGGTGAAGCCAAGATCATGTAAAGACTTACCAAGGCGGCACACCTAATGGTTTGTGACTTCCCCTTACCGTTCATCTTGGGTCGCGACTCGCATGTGGCTTTTGGGAAAGCCACCTGAAAAGAGAAACAGGAGCACCAGCCTTTTATGTCCACCCCTGGGGTGCAAACATTTCTTGTGCCCCGGATCAAAGCCACATTTCTAAGTTCCACACCTGAGGTCTACCAATAAACCAGGACGAACAGTACGAAGCAGTACTAAAGCAACGCTAAGCCCCCTATCCAAAAGCAAGACCGAAAGGGGTGGGGAGCACATGGACCACCCCCTCGACCGCGCGCACACATCAGCGCGCCGAGGCGGGCGGAATCCTCAGCGCCCAGGCTTTGCAGCAGCGCTTTGAGGGTGAACTCCTGAGACACGTGTTTTTTTACCGCTTGAGGGGTGGTGGGTAACATGATGTCGATTCCCAGAGAGTCCATGCAAGTGAAACATATGTATACATATATGTACACCAACCTCTAGGTGGTGGGCTTAGGTTGCAAAAAAGATCAGCTCGAATCCCGTGTTTCCCCACTTTGCGGGTAAATGTGGGTATGCGTTACCTACATGGATTGTCGGGGAGTGTTTGCTTCACTTCTTGACAAGGATGAAAGTACAACCCCATCAAGCATGAGTTCTTTGGTTTGCTTTACTTCTAGCCGTAGCCTGCATCGTTATCTCTAGCCCACAAACAGGTCAACCGAAGTTGTTTCACATGGTGCCCCTTCACGTTGAGTTCCTAGGCAGCTGAACATCAAGCCCACGGCTTTGCGCTTAAAGTTTGCTTCGCGATGCGCTGGTTTAGCTGACCACTGGAAGCAACAAAGAAGTGAACGGCTCAAACGTTCAAACACGCGGTGCTGAGCGTTTAAAGAAGGGCGCCAATGGGAGCGCAGGACTAACAAACCTGTCTGATTTAAGAAGGGCTCCTTCGCTTTTTGGGGACACAACTCCTCTTACTCCACTGGATTGAATCCACATTTATCGTTCTGGCCTGCACAATTTTGAAGCCAGCACAATCTTGACTTGTATCCGAAATAACTAGACTTTCCAACAATCGGGTAAGGTTGGTTCAATGGTCGGTGGAACCAGCTGGAATTTGACCATCCCCATCACTACTCTATCACTTAGGGGATTCCCTTGGTATCCCAAAGCCTTCCCATCCAAAGCCATCTGATAAGCTGGCCCTATCACGGAAACTCGCCCTTTGTCATTTTCTACATGGCTGTTGGCTCAAAAAGCACCCAAAATGGACCCCTGGTAAGTGGAACCAAAGACCAAAACCTGCAGTCCCCTGGTCTAGTTTGACCCATACCCACCTCCGGCCAGAAATTTCACCTCCGGCCTCCTCCGGCACTGTCAGCCGCGTCGCCCGGAATGCCGCGAGCTCGGCGTCAGAGAGCAGGCAGGAATCCAGCAGTGAGACCTGAGACGGCGCTGGATGCTGAAGATCCCGGAATGGTTGACTCCCCTACAATAAACCCAGAAAGGAATGGTTTCTGATTTTTCCAGACTCTCTATTCAACCTCGGAAGCAAAACAGGGAAAGCAAGTCTGGTGTGCTTGTTGGTCGTTCAACCAAAGACATCGGATTTCTGGACCGCATTCGCAAATGCCCATTTGGGTTAAGTCGTTTCTGAGAAGCCATGTGCGTCGGTTATTGTTGGCAAGGGCATGAAAGAAGCTCTTCTCTGTTTCCCACGGCCCTTCTTTGATGGTTTCTGGTTGGCTCTTCTGGATTCCCATGGCATCCTTTTGGTGTCTTTTGGTATCCCACGGCATGCAAAAAGGAGCTCCCTAGGTTGGTTGAAATTTGTGGCACATGTTGTGACTCGCCTGGAAGTTGTAAAAGATGTACTGAGCACCCTGGTCTTTGTGGAAAACAAATGGGGAGCTTCCTCTTGTGGTGCTCTTTGGGTTTCCCACGCCCGAAGACCCCAGAGGGGGCCAACAAAAGGGGTGTGCCCACTTGCGGGACAAATCGTGGTTTCCTCTTGCTCACCTTAGCCATCAAGGATGAGACACACCCACCAGCAAATGGGTATGAGGCTTTCAGCCCGAGCCCTGACCAAACATGCGGTGCGTTCGTATCATTCTAACGCCCGTTCTCCCCAGAGGTCTGTTTACAAACTGACAAAAGCCCAAAAGAGGCCCCCGAGGGCTCAAGCAGCTTGCAGATTTGGGAGGTTCGAGAAATCTTGTCAAACCCAAAACCGCAAGCATGGGAATTTGGACACTCTAGGGGCTGGTTTTTCTACCAGAGACCCGTCGGAAGGGACTGTTTCACGGGCGGTGCGCCCTGCAGTAAAACTCAACACCCTCATAACCTCCTCCAAACATTCGCCCTAAGCCTTCAAGTCAGGGTCGTTAAGGAACATAAGGAGCTTCGGAAGTCGGAAAGAGGGGAATCATATGGTGCCACTGAACTGGATTCTTGGACAGTTGTTGCTTTCTTTACATGACGAACATGGCCGTTGGGTGATGACAGCTTTGGCTTCTCAGAAACGACTTAACCCAAATGGGCATTTGCGAATGCGGTCCAGAAATCCGATGTCTTTGGTTGAACGACCAACAAACAAACCAGACTTGCTTTCCCTGTTTTGCTTCCGAGGTTGAATAGAGAGTCTGGAAAAATCAGATATCCATTCCTTTCTGGGTTTATTGTAGGGGAGTCAACCATTCCGGGATCTTCAGCACCCACACAAGCACGATGAAGACAAGGAAAGAAACTTGAAGCTTGCTAACTCAGCTGGTAAGCTTGCTATGGCTAAGCTTGACACACCCGAATAAGAGCTCAACCAATGCAAGGCCTCGGGTGCAATTCCATTTTGCTTTCCATGCGGAGATCTTGAGGGGTCACCATTCCCTAACTCCAAGCCGAAACGAGACGCTATGCCTACACTTTGCAAACTAGTGGCGATAAGGCCCTCGTTCATGGTGGGTCCGCCTATGAAGACCAGATCTTGCCTGAGACAGGTTGCTCGCTCCAGTTGCAATCAGTGACCAATACTTGGTCGCTGTTGACCTCTCTGCAAAAAGTCTAACTTGTTGTGGGTTCAGTAAAAACATATGTGGTTTCCCAAAAAGATCAAGTGTAAAGATCCAACGCAATACCAATCAATAATAGAACAAGTGAAACTCTGCTTGGGGCCAGGCCATTTCAGTGAACACGCAACCGAAAGATACTTTGATCGTGGAATCCACTGGACTACCGGGTTCCACGTGAAGATTGCTAGAACCACAATCTACTTCCCGGCCATGTGCCAAACATAGGGACTCGAGGAAAAACACGTGATAGAAAAAAAATCGGAACCCATGGGCAGAACGTTGGACCATAGCATCTGACATACGATGATCAGCGCACGAAACCCGCCGAGTTTTGTTCGACCAACATGATTGTAATATAGGCCTTACTATAGCCTGCATCAAACCAGGTACCAGAATCACCTTCCAAACGCATCGGGTACAACACCCCCAATGCAGAACCAACTTGGCCTGTCGAGACTATGGGCACAAAACGTAAAGGAAAAAGCAAGAACATAAGCGATGTAGGAGGGTCCTTTGTGCCAAATGCAAATGGACGACTCACCCGACAACAAGATAGGTTCTTTCGCTTCGCAGAAGAGCCACCCTGTCTAGCATTGGACGTTCAAGTAACTCTTCACTCCGAATGCTCGTGGTCATTTCAAGAATGACAACTCAGAACCTCCCAACCCCCCCATATTTGCAGGTGCTCCTGGCTTCAAATGAAAGGTCAATGCATTGAACCCGGCGAACCAAATGGACCAAAACGAAAAACAAAAGTGAACAGAATAATTGAGGAATCCTGATCTTGGCATACCATAATTTCCAAACATGAATGAAGAAAATGTGAAGGGACTTTCATGGATTAGCTCGTTCTAGCCGCGATCGGGGAGCCGGCTCTCATTTACCAGCAGCTATCACTCTTTCCAGGGATCCTTCTTTCTAGAAGAACCTCCGGAAACCCAGGGAAAACGGCCAGTTCTTGGAAAGACCGATGGTTGAAAAGAATGGGGAATCAACCCCTAGAAATATGCGGGATAGGAGGCAAGGCATCATTGATATGCTGGATGTGAGGGCAACCGCCGAGGTTCCAACGCTCTGACCTACCCCTCTGCGCAAGTATACCATGGGTGAGTCAACACTTAACGCAGATCCTTGGGAGGCACTTGGGACTTCCCTAGCCTCCACTTCCCCGGCTTTTTAAGCCGTGGCGCAGAACTCAGCCGTGCCCAAAACTCAATGGACTCTGTGGTTTTCTACGAACGAACGGTTACAAAACCATCAACCAACAGTTACAAAACCATCAACCGTCGGCTGTTTATAGAGGCCTGACTCTAGTAGACCGCATGAAGCCAGGCACCAAATGAAATGAAATAGGGGGGTGCTGCTCGCTCGCTTATTCGCTCGCTCGCTGGCTGCCTGCAGTCTCCGAGCTCATGCCACGTCTTCAGGGCCTGCTGGAACTCGGCCTCGGCCCCTGGAGTCGAGGACTGAAAGGGGCTCAGATGCTCAGTGAGTGCAAAGGGACAAGGAGAAACAAAAAGCACCCTTTTTCTGTTGGTCTGTTGGTTGAGTTGAAAGGGAAACCCAAAAAAGGAAGAAAGGAAGCAACCCACTGGGCAACTGAGGGGTACTCAACCCCCCAAGGCTCGCCGAAGACACTTGTCTCAAGTCCGATCGAGTGGATTGGCCAGCAAAAGTAACCGATTTTTGTGATTACCACTAAAATGGAACTCGGGGAGTGAGAAGTTAAACTTGCCGCTGAAAAAGCATTTCGAGGAACTCAACTCAGTTGCCCACTTTGGACCCAGAAATAGAAGGTGATCACCTTTTGGGGCCACTGCAAATGGACCAAAATGGGTAAACCAAGAAAAGCTCAGCTTTGGGCAAGTGAGACTCTCTTGGGATGGAAACCACGCGTACAGCGTAGGTTTCTCTAAAACCTCAAGGGAAGAATACAGAAGGACCTTTGGTGATTGCAGGCAAGGGGCACCTTGGGAAGCTTACCTGTTGATGCCCAATTCCCTGCTGAACGGACCACCTTTACAGCAGACCGCTAGAGTGCCAAAAGGTAAACAAACCCATACCAAAAAGCACACATGTGTTTTTGATATGATATAATTAATGGGGACAAACAAAGTCATACAAGAAAGCTATCTTCTCTCAGATGCTCGCGATTCAATACTAACCCTTCCACAACCAGTCACGCAAAAGCAATCTACAGCCCCAGCATAATCAACACATGACCAGCTGAGCTTTTGTAGAACAACTGTGCAAACCCTTGTCCGCGAGGACCCCACACATGTCAGTGGTGTCGACTAGTTGTGCTTGACTTGCTGCTCGCAAAACAGCTCCAGGTTCGGCCGTTCACCATGCTTGAGGGCCACGAGTCCGCGAATGTGTCCATCAGCATGGCGGGAAAAGACTTGATTGTTCTTGAACGACTCCGCTTCCCCCGCTAGAGGGGACAGAAGTACTGCCAGGATTGAGAATTAGTTTGATTTTGAACAACCCAGCCGACTGAGACAATACCAATTCTGGAAAGGTAAGATCCTCCAAATGACCCTCTAAATTTGGTTACGGAAACAGCCGGGTCCGAAAAAAGAGAAACGTCTTTCACTTTACGTGGGCCCCTGTTTCGCTCGATGTCGTCCCGTCCTGGCGCTCCGCGCTGGACACGGCGCTGCTCCTCGTCGAGCAGGGCCCACCAAATGCGCTGCGTGGCTCGCACCTTTGGCCCAGCACCCGCCTGCGCTGCAGAGACCCGGCCCCCTTTAAGCGAGGTCCTCCACCAAAGAGGATAGAATAAGTTGGTACCAACTTGTTTTTTCTGTTTTGTCGGTTTTAGTACAAAAACCCTCCCCACCAAAAAAGGGTAAAAGATGTAAAAGGGCACCTAGCTGCGCAGCTGGGGGACCTAGTTCAGCTACACCCGGAAAAAGGGAAGCTCCTTCTTTTCACATCAAGCCCACATGTGATGTCGAATTCAAACACAAAGGCAAGAAAGGACCCGTTTACCAACCCCCAAAGATTGATCAAGGCACACGGAAACACATTTGATGAGCAACGCCGCACCCCACAAGAAAAGGTTCTGCAGGAAAGCTTCTTGGAGGGTTCTCCAAAGGTTCCAAGACACTTTCTGGGCCGGGTTGTGGGAAACTGGGTCCTGTAAGCCAAACTGTGATGCGCAAACACACGTCAAGGCCGTCACAAGAGCTCAAGCCAGTCAAGGGGTGGCAGGAGTGTGCTAAAACTGGAGTCCACAACGGGGGGTCTGTCAAGGAGCGCAGCTTCGCTGCATTCCGGTCAAGCCCGTACAGGATAGACACACGGCTGGGGCCAAACACAGCTCCTGCTCCATAGTGCCATTAGAGGCAAAAATGATGGAGCCAAAAACGCAGATGCACATGTTGTCTTCGGAAACAACTGAACATCTCGGGTCGTGCGCAGCGGTGGTTGTGGTTGGGGCAGGGTTCAGACCCGCGTCGGGGGTGTTGTCTCACTGCAGAGGCACGTGTGTCAGGACAGCGGGACGTGCTGGTCAACCAGGACGCGAGAGTCGCGGGAAATACAGCAGGCAGCGGGCGCCACGCAAACTCGTCGCCCTCTGGGGGTATCTTGGGAGTAGATCCCCCAGGAAGAAGCTAAGCTTTTTGCTGGTTAAAAGGACATGAGGGGAATCCAAAAAGCTAAAGTCTAAAGATCCAACCCAACAGCAGTAGAGGTATTATAGGGGCGGAAGCCCGTGGCGTGCGGGCAGCATAAGCTGCGGCAGCTGTGAAGCCTCGACGGCTAGCCGCCGACAAGGACTCCGAGCGCAGGCGGCTGGTGACAGCCAGGTGAAGCACACTGGGAAAAGCGCGCGAAAGCCGACATACAAACAATGCTCGAGGGATTCTCAGTTTGCAAGAGCCGCGTGCTTAAACAAAAAAGGCAAGCGGGAGCCCTTTGAGGGAAACCCAAACTGAATAAAACACATTTCTATTGCCCAAACCTTTCGCAGGGAATTCTAAAAGAGCGTGCTTACGCAACACGATGAAACAAGTGGACCTAAACATCTATCAACGCTTGGCTCAAGCTACCGCGAGTTGGCCGGGCTATTGCGTGGCAATGAATTCGAATTGGTGGAAATGTCCACAGGGCCACCAATGACAAGTTCGCTTGGATGATATGTGAAGGAATGATATGTGAAGGAAACCGGAAAGACAAACCCATTCTAAAGGCTCCTACAACCATTGCAGTCAACCCCATGAAACCAAGTAGTAGGAACCACCTGCTGACCCTTTCAGGGGTTTTGCGCGCATCAGCCGGCAGCCCAACACCTGCGTCCACCGAAGCTGCCGCAAAGGTTCCCCGTCGGACCAGCACACGCCTCCGGTCCGGCCACGCGCGCATCACGCGCGCGGGTCAGCCAACTCACCCGGGGCTCAAAAACACCCAGCGCTCACCTAAACCTGGGCCAGCTGTTGGTTGAAGCATCCCAAAATGAAGCAATTGTGTTGGACACTTTTCGGGAAAAGCTAGAGCAAATGTTCTTCCAAGCGGCGCCTGATCACTTCCACGTTTTTCCTCGCGTACCATCTTGGATCAATTGACGGTCAAACCACTATTCCACCACTATTCCTTACTCAGCCTCCTTGTGGAATCTCTTTAAAGGCAGTGGTTGGATGTTGAACCGTTTGCCCATCAATTCCCGGCTTCTGTCCGCCGAAATTCAAACCTTACATGTCGCACATTGCTCCCCCAATTCCGTTTTTTTTGATTGTTCACACACGCGCACACACACACACAAACACAAACACAAACACAAACACAAGCACAAACACAAACACAAAGACACACACACACATGGGCTTGTCCCTCAAAAAAGAGACCCTCACATGTTGTAACTAAGCTAGCACACACCCGAGGCTCTCTTTCTCTCTCTTGTCTCCCTCTCTCTCTCTCTCTCTCTCTCTATCTTTCACTCTCTCCCGCTCTCTCACACGCCTTTAGAACGGAGCACCGGGCGCAGCGCAAGTTGTGCTTCAGAAGCCTTGCGCTCGCGCGTGCGGGCAGTGCGGGGCAGTGCCCAAAGCATGGCTCTCTGTTTGGAGCGCCCTCCAAATTTATGGGTTCCACGTGCACCATGCAAGTAGTAGCAATGTGGTTGTGTTGAAATTGTGAAACCACGCTCAAGAAGCGGGGTCCCTATGTTAGGGTGTTTTCACGGGGGGCCGAGTTAAAGGACATCTAAAATTAAAACAACACGCATGTTAAGGATTCCCCTTATTTCGAGGCAAACCCATACTTCTGGGTGAAGCAGAATAGTTCACCCAGCTTTGTTTGGCTCTTTTTGGCCACGTCAGCAGTGCTCGGCGATAGCCGAACACTCCAGCCAGTGGGATACTACCAGCCTACATCGGGCTGCCTACCAAGAGCTGAACGTATGCGAACCTCTCTTGCGGGCCAACATGCAAATACCGGAGAGCAGCCCCACAAACACTTCCAAGCAACACAAGCCTGAAATCGTTGTAGATAGAGCCTTGAAAGGAACCTTCCTCATGCGTGAGGTCGCAAAAACCTTTGTGAGGTCGCTGCAGTTTGCCCAGAAATACGTCTTGCTCCACATTGACATTTTTTTGAAAGTGAGCGATGCGTCGCCGGGTCAGCAAAGGGGTCAGGACCACCTGGATTTCTGTCCTTTGGCCTCCCAAGCGGCAGCAGTTTGGGCAGGTCCCTTGTGTTTCCTTGATTCAAAGTGTCCTGAAACGGGGAAGCCGGAACAAACTGGCACACCCCCCCCGCTTGCGACCCAAACTAGATCCCACGTGCTCTTCCTTTTGTGTCCCCATTTAACAAGCAATGGGAAATCTTCGCCAAACCAAGGGCGCCTCGTAAATGCTGAGGATTTCTCAGTGCAACAAGAATCTTCACACCTACGTTCCCTAAATCTGCACGCGCTCAAAAATCCTCATTTTTGCAAGGATGACCACATCTTGAACCCATAAAATCGGATCACCAGCCAAGTTTCGAGCGAAGTCGAAGGCTTCAAGATGTTGCCGTCTCGGTGCGCCTCTGTGCTCCCACCCTCTCGGAGCTCCTGATGGATGTTCAAACTACACAGTCGCCAGTGGCAGGGTTCCTTGTGTGTCCAATTTTTGCAACCCAAAGGGAAAGCTAATCAAGACCGGCCCAAAGCTGATGGTCAAATTACCTGCAGAAGGGACTTAGAAGCACCATCTACACCAAAACGAAATCGTTGCCTCAGCATCTGTCTCAAAATAGAGGACACCCTTCTTGACACAAGAAGGACATCTTGACAAGAACCCGATACTCCTGCTACTACATATGTATATATATATATATGTATCACCACTTTGAGGGGGGAAGGGATTTGGTTGTGTTCGTTTGCCACTAAATATGTACTCTCAAAGAAAGTGACTAAAGTCCGAGTTGCGGAACTCAGGAAGTAAGTAGTCAACCCCCCCCCCTTCCAGGGACTTGTACTTGGGAGCGGTGGATTTTGTGCTTGGGAGTGGAGGTGCTCCTGCCAAGCTCGCAGCAGTTGCCCTAGGCGCTTCTCGCTGAAGGGCCGCCGCCGCTGGAAGACGAAGCGCCTTCCGGAGCGACCTTCCGCCTGAGAAGCGAAAGCGCGAGCCGCGGGAGCGAAAAAAGAGGCGGACACGTGAATCCAAGAGAAAGCCCAAGGTTGAAGGGCGGCTTACTTCTGGCTTAGTTTAGAGGTGCCCTAATTCTGGAACGACCCCAAATTATGTATCTTTGGTGTGAAGGATGTGGGATGATTGTTTTGAGTATTGCAATTGAGTTCCCATCAAGTTCAGGTGGCTTGAATTCCCGAGTTGGAATGGACGCATGCCCTCCGCTTCCGACTTGTGAGGCGAAACTCACCAAAAGAGCTTACACCGACTTCTCGCTTCTGCACAAGTTGCTGCTGGAATTGAAGGTTACCGAGTTTGCTTAGCCCAAAGGGTCACAGCAGCTTCAGAGGACTCCAAAAATGACTTGGACCTTTGGGTACACAAGTGAACGCCTCGCACAGACCGCCTGCGGCTCACTCTTTTGCTCCGAATCTGTACACTGCTTGAGCAACCCCCACTCAAATTGGGTGTGGCTCAAAAATAGGGGTCCAAAATGGAAACCTGCTAAATGGGAAGGTGGACTACAACCTGGGTAAACCCAGCTGCTAAATTTTGAGCCACACCCAATTGGCTAGTCTTGAGCAGCTAGACACGCAAAGGTGCCAAATGCAGAGCGTTCCTTTAGCTTGTGCCTGCAACGCCTGCACGCCGGACTCCGGCTACGTGCCACTCACGACGGCAACAACTCCACTGGTCTCGTCACGAGTGCTGATCTTCGGAACGCAAATGAGGGAACACGATCTCGAAGCCACTGAAACCTGAGTTGGTCTCTGACACCCCACGCAACTGAGAACAGCTAGCGAAGCAATGTCCTTTCCCAAACAGTAAAACTCTTGAGTGTCAAGAGCAACCAAGCAACAGCCTTCTCAATGGAAATGTCTCCATGTTCTTCAACTGCCCCTGCAGCTTGCCGACACTTCGGCCCAGCCGTCTCACTTCTCTCTGAAGCCCAGCTTGCTCCTTCCATTGACTTAAGGTGCCTGTGAACAAAGGCCATGTGGCTACATGTTCTAATGGTCGGAACAGCTTCAGACAAGGTTGGAAAGGCATACGTGGTGATGCATATACATGTAGTGGTCTGGGGGCAACCATCATTTCCATGGAACTGATGTCCATCAAAGAGTCCCCGAATCAATTATCAAAGCATACCCACCTCTCGTGATCAAGGAATGTCCATATGAAAGGTGTCCCTCTGACCGTTTGATTCTACCACCGTGACAAAGGATTCTGCCTTCCAGTGCAAAACACACATGCACCAGTTGGGATGGGACAGGCCATACACGTTCGGGGATAAAACGACTTTCGGGATAGGCAACCCATGGCCAACTCAGAAATCATCTCTGACCAAACTGGGACCAGCGGCCAGCGGCTGATTTGAGAATTCCACCAATATCAGCCAGCGGCGGGTGGGAGATATGGAGTCCAAACAGGATACGCATAAACTGTTTTCCGTAGTCCGGGGAGTGTGCCCACTTATATGGTTTGCTTTCAAGGTTTCCAATCAGGGACTCGACCTCAGCCTTTACCCTCCTAACCAAACACAATACTTTGATTCTGGCTCATGGTCAGTCCATATTGATATATATATACACACATACTAGTTGATATATATATATATATTTATGTACATACTAGTTGATATATATATATACTCGTGTATATATATATATACACGTATAACGTACGATGGTCTCTAAACAGATATGATCGATGCGGTCCGATTGGCCCTCACTCTTCCGATGGAAGCTCCTCTCGCTTCTCCTTGACCAAGGCTTGCAGCTTTTTGATCTCAAGCTGCAGCGACTTCTGCTCGAGGATCACGAAACCCAGAAACTCGTCCAGGAGGCGAGTCAGCGACTCACTTGCCTGCGGATAAAACCAGAGATAAATTATCCATATCCAATCGTTCTCCTGAACTGACTTGAATCCAATCGCTCTGGTGGTTTCCTGGGGAAAGGAGTCTTCTGTCCTACCAATCGGGTGACTCCACTGCATGTTGTTGGGTTCCAGCCCCTGAACACAGCTCAACTCTTGCTCCCTGTCGGTTGCTTGGAAGTGGAGAAAAGCAAAGGCCAAGCTCCGTGAAACTTCGTGGCGTGAGTGCTTAGGAATCCCAAAGCCTCTCAGGGTACAGTACGTTTTTCTTGAGGTCTCAAAACTGAGCTGCGAATTCCTGTTTACGCCACGCCCGCCCCAGCGATTCACAACTGCCACTCATTCAAAAGGCTAGAAGCAAACGACAAGGAACCAAATGGCTAAGCTCTAGCATCCTTGCCAAGCTCTAGCATCCTTGCCAGCAACCGACCAAACTTGCTGGTGGTCAGTAGGGAATGTGGGAATGAGCCCAGGGGTCCCCTTAAAGGAAACCACCAGTTGGATGCTTTGTAAGGGTCATTGAACTCATTCCCTGCTGACAAGCAAGCAAAGCTGGGAAACCAAAAGGTTCGGAGGTCGATTCACTTTGGGCCTGCACTTGTTTCGGAAGCGATCAGCAACCAAGTTGCATGCAGGCGACTCACCTGATCCTGCGACGCAAAGTCCTCCACCGAGACCTCCAGTGCTCATTGGTTTGCTTTTGGTCCATCAGCTTGATGAGTGCCCATACATTTGTTTGTTAAATATTATATATATATATATATTTAAAAATGTATCTATGTGCGTATGGGTTTTAATGCCAATTGGTGACCCTTCGGCTGGCATCATTTAGGTGGGGATTTCGGCCCAAGCATTTCTCAGAGTGTTCCATATTCAAATGAATGGGCAGATTTTCAAACCATATCCAACCCTCTGTTGCTGCATTGGTTGGAGGAAAAATCGAGGACCATAGTTCCCCTCGCTGTGCCTTGGAATGCGAAGACCTCCAGCAAATGCGTGCGCTCGAGTGTGCGTGAGTGTGATTGCACGCCACTACCTCAACGGGAACATGCGTGTATTAGTCACTACTTAAAACCTTCTTGGTGGGGTGATTAACTAGGTCCTCCAGTAGAGAGGTTAGAATAAGTTGGTACCCTTTCTTCTGCAGTCGATTTTAGTTGGGGAACCCTCCCAACCAAAAAAGGGTTGAAGGAGGGCACCTAGCTGGGGGATTGATCAAAGTCACCCTGAATGATTTTCAGGCAAACTAAGCCTGGGCTGCCCTCAGATCCCTCGCTAAAAGTGACTCACTTTTAGTGGGTTAAATGGAAACTACCACTAAACACGAAGAGGCCAAAAAGCCAAGGGACCGGATGGCTGGGAGCCACCAAGAAGCTTTGAGCAGTCCTTGAAACGATCACACGTCTCTCCGACAGGTTGGCCATTGACCAAGGCACATTGAACGCAGGCATCAGCTGATTCAGCTTCTGACGATATTCGCTGCTCACCTCGCTTGCTCGATCTGCTCCGTCTAGAAGATCGAGCCTGGACCAAAACAACAACGGCTGAGCAAGATACTCGGTTGCTTCCTGCTCCCCTGCTAAAAGTTTAAACTTTTAGTGCTTGAATGGAAAACCCCATTAGTTCGCAAAAGGTCAAAGTCCTAACATCCAAGCAAAATACACCAAAGGATATAGCTTGCGACTCATCCCTTCGCGCCATTCTTTAATCCGCCCCTATTAAACAATGTGCAATGACCGGGGGTCAGGGAGGCTCGCAGCAGCCAAAGCGCACCTTTGCGCTGAGATCGAATGTCCACGCGCCCACTGGCGCGGTCGCAACCGTGGCTCGGTGTCGAGCGGACAAAGGGGCCCCTCTGTCTAGGGCCATGGTGGCAGCAGTGGATCAACAGTTGACATGTCACAACCGAAGGAATCGCATGGGCCAAAAACCTTTCTCAACTGCTGATCCCGTTGCTGATGTGCCGTCACGTCCTTAATGGCAGAACGCCCTTGGCCGTGGCTCTTGCGAGCTGAAGTGAAGGTGTTGTCGTATGCAACACTCCACAGGCCTGTTTGAAGAAACTTGGTGAGACCCAGGCGACACTCAGCTTTCTTCTTGGTCAAGGCGTCGCCGAGATCATAGTCGCTGGCCAACCAACGAAGTTCAGCTCCGGTTCGGGTGAGATGCTCCCGAAGTTGAAGAGCTTGAAGCGCGGCTCTCGCGTTGCTCAACCCAAGCATTGGTGACTCGTTGTAGATCACCGCATCGTAGCCGCCCTTGCTGTCGGTGGCCAGAATGCCTTTGATGCCGCGGGCCATGCGTTCAGCCCATTCCACCCTGTCTTCGTGTGGGGTGAGATCGTGACCGGCTCCATTCATTTCGCACCAGAGCACGCGGATGCGGAAGTTCTGATCCTCGCCATCCAGGATTGCCTGGACTTCAGCATCATTTGAGGATATGGCCTTGCGGCGCAGCTTCCAGCTTCGCCATGCCAGAGGTGCCATGTACGTGACCTTGCCTTCGCTTGCGTGAGGTCCAGTAGCAACTGAGATCAAGCCGCCGGTGGAATCCATCTTGCTGCGATTCGCGTGGGCTTGGTCGCAGAAGGTCACAAAAACCATGTCTCGCCATGTCTCGACTCCAGGTGGTTTCTTGTAGTGCAGCTGGTAGGCGTGCTTGCGAATCTCGCCGACTAGCTTTTGAAGTTCCAGCGCCGATTGCATGAGGCGCTTGGTCGTGATTTCAGATGCAAGTAGGTTGCACCTAGCACAGAGCTGCGGCTGAGTCTGCAAGGCCAGCCATTGAAGACTGCCCCAGGTAGTGCGGCATGCAGCTACCTCCTCAGGATTCATGACCGCATTCTCTTGACGAAGGCGATCGGGATCGATGTTCACATCGGCGATGGAGTCGATGTAGTACTGCTGATTGATCTTTACCTCCACGGAGCCGTCCTTGTTGATGATGGAGGTCAGGTCGGTTCCAGCGTGCCGGTAGTTGCCACGTTTGGCAGTGCCCCACTCGTAGAGCTTGTCGATCTGGGAGCAGACCTGAACCCACTCAGGCGAGAGGCGATTGCCACAGCGATGGAAATCATCCACGTGGCCGCCCATGATGCCTAGTA